AGGGCAGTAGCCCCCACCTGGCAGCAGAGACAATCCAACTACCTCAGTCACAGAGGCAGACCAAAATCCTCAGCTACGTTTGCTACTTGATTTCAGATACAAGGTATAAAATAAGAAGGGTGTTTTGTGGACAACAGTTTAAATATAAACTCAATTTGGTCAGAAGCACAGCCCCTCCTATGCACTACAAATATGACACCATGTAGCAAGTGACCGTGTTAGAACATGGCCAAACAGAAAGGCAGAATAAATGTGGGCAGGTCCTAAACATGAGGTCCTCCACTTTGCAAAATTGTTATTTTGTTCTTAAAGCTTTTGAAGACCGTAATTAGCAGTACTGGGGATGCTAATTGTGCTGGAGACATGAACAGATCATAGAAGTTCATGAACAATGCTGAAAAGAGTAGAGAGAGCGAAACAGAAAAAGAAGCAGCACACACCTGCCGCCACAGTGCACTTAAATCCCATTTCCCTTTACACTGCAGCCCAGCTCATCCTTGTACTTACAGAGATGCAAATGATGTACAGCTACTTCCCAGTCCTGGGTTTCCAGTGTCACAGAGACCAAATCCTGCAGCATTTGTGATTCTCCTCATCTTTGATCTTTGTCAGCTCCTTCAGTTTTAGCAGACCAGTGAATCCCCCAAAAACCCTTTAAACATTCTGGCTTTTCCCTAGATGAGACTGCATTTTGTGTGGCTGGTGCTTGGCAGAGGCTCCCCAGCCACCCTCACCTCACCAGAGCATCCATGAGGCCGCTCCACGGAACCTTCCAGAAGGTCTCCTCCTGCCTTCCCTCCGTGGCAGGCATTGCTTGCCCCTCACAGCCTCGTGGTGGGAAACCCTGGCTGGCCTGGCCAGGGCAGCTCTGGAGAGGGCACAGGGGAGGGGACACGGGGGGACACGTGTGGAGGTGGCCGGGCTGTGGTGAGCAGCAGGCCAGGCCGTGCCCAGGGCCAGCGCCCAGCCCTGCTGTGAGCCCGGGCCTGCCGCGCTCCCCCAGCCCCGTGGGAAGCACCTGGATCTCCTGGGGATGCCCCAGCCAGGGCCCAGCCCAGGAGGGGAACTGCTGGGCACAGTGACAGACCCAGAGAAAAGGCACGGAGAGCGAGGTGTGACAAGGCAGCAGCCACAGGGGATGTCCAACCAACCAGCAACAAAGCCCGACCCACGTGTGCCAGGGACGTACCTGAGCAGGCTTTTCAAATGTGATTGAGTGTTTCAAGCAGGGAGGTGCAGAAATCCTTCCTGCAGCTAAATCTGGAAGCACTGCAAGAAGCTCAGGTTAGAGAGGAGAACAATCACAAGGAACCACTGCTCTTGGTACAGAGGTTTCCATCCAGACCAGACCTCGGTGGGGGTGCGATTGCTTTGAAACTCAGATTTAGCTTTCAGAACACATTACTGCAGAAAGCCAGGCCTGCAGGGTGGAGCTGTCCTTGCTCCTCGGGCCCTGGCGTGAGTTCCAGGGGCAGGAGGACGCTGCCTTCCTTCAGCTGCCATCTCCAGCTCCTGAGGGCAGGAGGCCACGCCACGGCACTCGCTGGCTCTGGCACCGGCCAGCAGCTTGCTCTCACGGACATAAACAGCACACTCAACAGCTGGTATCTTTACTGAATGAATTTATTGGTTTTTGAACTAAAGTTGCTCACAGTTATTTAACAAGGGATACATCAGATTTTTTTGTCCATTTCAAACCATTAAATAATGTCAGTTTGTGTCTGTATATGTGTGTGTGCGCGAGTGTGTGTCTTCAAAGTACAAAATAGGAAGGATAACAAGAGGTATTGCTTTCATTTATTCTTATATCTTGTGTGAGTAATCCCCTTCCTGCTTGTACCACATGGGTTTTGATGATATAGGTATTTTTAAATTATTATTATTATCTTGTATTGAAATCCCAGCCTTTTGTAGAGGTACAATGTAACAGAAGCATCAAAATCTATACACAAGGGAAGAGAAAAGAGGGAAAAGAAGGACGGGGGTGATGGGAGGGGAGCTCGGAGGAGAAGTAGAGAGAGGGCAGAGGCAGGAAAGACAACGAAAGCAAAAGAGACTAATTTACAGCAATGTCATGCAATTAAAACTGCCCCCCTCTCCTGCACCCTTGCCTCCCCCCCTCCCCAGCCATCACCCCCTGGTGTCTGACATGCACACAGCAATACGAGAGAGAAAAGTTTAAGAATAGGGAAAATAAATAAATAAATAAATAAAGCAAAAAAATTAAAATAAATCCCTCCCATTTGGGGGAATGGGGAAACAGGGCAGAAGTCAAAGGTCTTTGCCCCAGTTGTGTCTTTAAAAATTCTTTTTAATCTTCAAACCTATGTACAAGTAAAACTGGTCCAAGAAGGGGAAAAATGATTAAAAAAACCAACAACGACAACAACAACAAAAATGAACTCATCCAACATTATCATTAAAAAAAAAGAATCTTGCGATACAACATACACCCATAGGAACCCAACGAGCAGCAATCGAAGGTCATAAAAGAGCTGAACACTAATGCTAAGCCTACATTCTTAAAATCTCAGTCAAGAAATACTTCTCACTGTGTTTTGTCTTCCACGTGTAAAACCACATTTTTTTGTTTGTTTAACCTTTGAGCTTGGGCCAGAATAAGTTACACTTGGTCACATAACTCTTGAGGAGGAGGAAAAAAGGTGGCAATTCTTCTTTCTCAAAGTCACAAAATGAACACTTACAAGGTTTCTGTGTCTTTTTTCCCCCTCCTCTGCAAAATAAATAAGAATCAATGTTGCCTCTACACAGTTATTAAACAGAAGATATATCTAACAGCTTATTTTTTTAAATATATATATATGTATATATAAATAACCAAGACCTAATAACTCAAACACAAAAAAAAAAGGTCCCCATCCACCCAATCCCACCCTCCTCCCTTTCAAAAGAAAAAAAGAAAAAAACAAAACAAAACCAAACAAAAAACTTTATAAAAATATCTTGCAGTAAATTTTAAAGTTTACAGTAGCTTCGTGATTAAGTCTCCCATTGCCCTGACTCCACCTTGTCTTGCTCTGATGAACCAAGTGCCAGTGATTTTGCACACACACACACATACACACAGAGGAAATAAAACCCAATATAAGTCTCTTTTCTTCCTCCTCTTCATCTTCTCTTTTTTTTCTTTTTTTTTTCTTTTTTCCTTTTTTTTTTTAAGAAAAAAACCACCCAAGCCAACAAATGAAACTGGTAACTTAAAGAAATAATAATACTGATATCAATGCAGCACTAGCAACACAACAATTGCCTCTAAATGCAGGGTGTGGTGGAGGATCCAGCTGGTTGAAGAAGGTCCCAGCGCGGTGGCACAGTGGCAGGGAGTTGACAGGTGGGGAGGAAGGTGTCGAAGGAGGAGCAGCAGTAGCAGCAGCGGCAACTGTGCCTGGTGATGGGAGAGACAGTCCTTGGCAGAGTCTTGTCCCTCTTCTTTGCTACCAGAAGTTGCCTTTTCCCTAAGTTTTAATGTTTTGTTTGTATGTGTTTATTCATTGAACCCCCTCTCCCTCCTACGTTTACTCCTTTCCCCTTCCAGCAGGTTAAAAAGCAAAATGATACAGTATAAAAAAAACCAATTAGTTTGTGTGTGTGTATATATATATGTATGTATGTATATTTATACATAAATATACACACATATATACATGTATATATAAAAAAGGGGGCAAAAGAAACGGAAAAGGCGGTGGGGAGAGAAAAAAAAAAACAAAAAGATAAGAAAATCCCGTGATGAAGCTCCCCAATATTGTCTTGGTTCAACGCTTAGTTTTGAGTTGCTCCTGGCTGGTTTCTGAAGAGAACGCGCTCTGGATTCACGGAACACTGCGCTCCCGCTACACCCGTCTCCTTCCCCACACCCTCCCTCTCCGGGCTGCGTTCACCTGCGCGGACAGAAGTTGCCAAGGGTAAATAATTCACTCCAACAATCTGCAACCTCCTTTGAGCCCAGACTCTGCAATCCCATAACTGAGCAGATCTCTCTTGTGGAGCACCAAAAAAGAAAAAGAGAGGGGAGAAAAAAAACCAGGCGTGCACTGGGGAGGTGACTGGGGAGAAGTGGGGGAGAAGCCCACTTCCTGAAGGGAGAGGGGAGGCTGGGAACCTCAAACAGGACTGGTCCTTGGACAGTCTACATCGGTTGCCTTCCGCCAACAAGTGTCCGCAGAGCACAGAAGGTGAAGCCGTGGCTGACATGTTAACTTTTCGGGATAATTCCTGGTAGCAGAGCGGAAACAAGTGGTGTCGTCAGAAACACAGAGAGAGCATGAACAGAACAAGAAACAAAACAAAAGAAAACAAAACAAACCCAAAAAAAAATCAAAAAAGAAAAAACCAAAAATTCAGGAAGGAGAAAAAAAGCAAAACATTCAAAAAAAGGGAGGAAAAAAAACAATCGAAAAAAACCACAACCCAAGATCTGGTGAACTGGGTTTGTCATCTGTGCTACCTTTTCTTTTCTTTCTTTTCTTTTCATTCTTTCATTCGTTTGTTTTTGTGTTTGTTTCTGAGATATATATTATATATCATATATAAATATATATATGTATATATATACAGTCATTCCTTCATACAAAATTTGTCTATAGACAGTTTTGTACTGTTGTGGCAAGGTATATACATCCTTCTAGTTTAGAGGCTAGCTTGCTAAGGAATATTCTTTCATTCTTTCTTGCTTTTTTCTTTTTGTTTTGTTCTGTTTCCTTTTTTTTTTTTTTCTCTAAGTTATTTAATTTTTTATGTGTTTATTTAAGGTTGGTCTTGTAGGCCGACTGATGAGACCATCTTTGCCTTGTCTTTGCCAGCAGGGTACTTATTGTCTCCTCTAGACCCATAGTCATTAGAACCGGAATCGCTCCGCTTGCTGTTTGCGCTATGCTTGGTTGGCGTGCCGGGGGGATGGCTCACCTGCCCGTTCTTCTCGTCTGAAAAAAGTTGTTTAATTACGTCAAAGAAGTTACTCAATGGGCTGCCTGGGTACACAAAACAGAGGAGACAAAAAAAGAAAGAAAGAAAGAAGGAAAAAAAAAAAACAAGAGGGAAAGAGAGAGAAAAAGAGAAGAGAAAGAGAGAGAACAAACAAACAAATGAACAATGGGGTTTTTAACGAGAAGAACATGATGAGGAGATCCAGAGCCACGTGCGTGGGGGTGTGTGGGGGATGAAGACAATGAGCAGGAAGAGGAAGAGTGTTTAGGATGGGACACCTACAGAAATAAAGAACCTGGGAGCATAAAGCACCTAGGGGGAAGTTCCTAGTTTTTCCTTAGTGGGGAAGCATTGCTGTCTCACCTGGCAGGAGGACACAGTACCACGACTGAAATAGGTCATTCCATTGCTAGGATTCACTTGGCCACTTCACATGGAGGTGTCAGTGACTGTAATGCTGGACACAGGCAAATCCCATCCTACTCCTGTTGTTGCAAACACAGGGTATTTCCATGTGGCTGCCCATTGATGCTTTACTTTGCAGCCTTGCTAAGCTCTCTGTCTAGACCAGGCATCAGGCTTTCCTTGCTTGCATTTTATTCCATTCTTGAGTTTCTCCTTGCTACCCTGTCATGACTAAGCCTGAAGCACCTGAGTGGTCCCAGATCATTTGGAAAATGAGCTACGGCTGAGATGAGTGTTGCCATCTGAGTGAGTGGTCTGTGGTTTGCACTCACAGGCTTCTAAGCACCTTCACATCCTCCCAAAACAGGTACCTGGAAATGAAGATGCTGAATGTGGAAGCAGGCTGTTACACATCTGCCTGCTTCTGCCAGGGTCAAGACCTACTACCTCCCTGTCCTTAATGAATGCTCTCTCCACAGCACAGCCTCCATGGCCCTGGCATGCATTCCAGTGCAGTTAGGAGCCAGAGAGGAGGTGGAGCTCTGTGCTACTGGAACAGGCATGTCCTTCAGCCAGCCCCTAGATCAGGCTGCAGTGTTAACAAGGACTGGGCACATGAATACAGCCTTTTTGCCATGTGGGCCTCCAGGAAGCATGGTCATATGCTCTTAATCTACTTCTATGTTAGGGTGTGCACAAAGTCATACTTCAGGAAAGGCTCTGGGGTGCTACTGAGGGACAGGGAGCAGGTACCTCTGGAAAGGTAGCCTTTTTCTGGGATTTTTAGTCCTCTTTCTGGTTTTTTTTTTTTTTGATTGGGGGATTAATCTTTATCAAACATAGGAGGGGTCACACTTTGAGCATGGATATTAAAGGTGTTTTTTATCTGATGTACACAATGGAGGTGGATGCCTGTTCATGATCATTAAAACCCCATGACAGTTTTCTCAATGTTGGGACTGTTGGCTCTACCGTTCTATCAAATTAAAATAATTTCTATCTCCAGCTCCTGTAAGGAAATAGGCCCCTTGTATCTGCCTTCCAATGTGGTAAAATGCTGTGAGGAGTGGAACCTTTCATCCCCAAGATGGGAACATTCTGTCAGGAGCAAAGGGCTTCCTCATAGCAGAGACTGCTGGACACTGGTGGCTTGGTCATAATGCACTTTAATTCCAAACATAAGCAACCCAGTAATTAGAGCAGGCAAGTACTTTCTGTGCACAGCAATTTGACTGAAGAGCTTGTTGAGTACTTTCTTATTCTCTAATGGAAAGTACGAGAAGACATCATTGTCTTATACAGAGAAAGAGGAAATGCATAGTATTTGTGCTTTGCCAAACTTAATGTGTTACTCTTTTTTGCCTGCCCTATGCTGACCAGGTAGTGGCTGCTTTCCCCTGCTTGTTAATGGGCATTGAGAAAAATCAAATGGCTGGCAAATACAGTGAAGAATCTTATTAATCTAATTCATTCCTTGACTTCCTGTGCCTGCCGCTTTGTGGTCAATGTTCTGCTTGCCCTGGTTCTGTCACTCAGTTACACCAAAGCTAAAAGCAACAGGCTGTGTGAGTTTCTGGAAGGGCATCATTCACCCAACTGACTGAAGCCTTAGTGACGGGCTCAAACAACCAACCAGGCAAAGCACATAACTCAATTTCCAACTAAGAAGAGAAAGGCTTTCACTAAACTCAGTCACTTCGGGCTCAGGCCTCCCTGAGCTCCACCTGCTCCTTCCACATGCATGCAAATGCTTGGGAAAGGGGGTATTTCTTCCACATCTGTGACTTCTATACCAGAGATTCCCCTAAGCCTCCCTAGAACTGTTTTAGGTTTGTGGGCACACACATTGCAAAGATTCATTTTTATCTACTCAGACTCATTTCTACTTATTTTAGGTGGATACCATTTTTCAATGAAAAGAGAAAAAAGAAAGGAAACACTCAGCCTTGAATGCAGGAATGTGGGCAGATCTGGTTCTCAGGTGGCTTTGGACCCCTCATCTTCATAAGCAAATGGAGTCAGCAGAGAGAATGAAAGAGCACTGAAAAAAATGCTGGAGAGGAAAAGACTGCTGGGTTGGGAGAAAAGAGTAGGGGAATATCTCTAGTTATTCAGCTGAGCAGTTCATTTAACAAGCTTAGAGGGAAAGATGAGGGCAGAGTAAGCAGGGCTCTGCAGGAACTGGGAAAGTTTTTTGTTTTCATATAGACAGCAACAGTGACAAAAGTACAACTTGCAAGAATGGAGCAATAGAACACTTCAGAAATTATACATCTTGTATTTGCTGAGTCCTGATACAGGACTTTTAGTCATCCTACTAAAATATGCAGCCCATGTTTCATCCACCCTTTCTCCTCCCCATGCCCTACCGGCTTTCAAGTGCCTGGAGATTTATTGCAGCAAAAGTATTTAACAGTCTACTTTTCTTTGCCTGTATCACTGCTGGATTCCTTACAATCATCATTTTTTAGTTAAAATTTTAATGGGAAGTAAGAAAATCCTTAGGGATGTTTAGAGAGCTACTGAAAACTAAAATAGGCCATTTCGCTAACTCTTTCCTTCCTTTGCCTTTTGTACTTATAATTAAATAGTAGGTAATAATGCCCTCCTGTCCTGGCAGTCAAGAAAAAACTGATGCTGGGCTGGTGTTCAAACTGCTCTTTGGATAGACAAGGAGTCCTCACACTTTTACTCTGGAGATACCCAAGAATGGGTCAGCTGTGCTGGAAGCATGAAAATGGTGCAGGGCGTTGTTCCTGTTAGTTCACAGTTCCCTTTGAGGTTATAAATCCAGTAAAACAAGACTTGAAAATGCAGGTGATGATGGATTAGAATAGGTTTTTCAGCAATCTTCCATGCCTAGTGTTCAGTGCAAGATGTGTCATAGGCCTTTACACCTGTAAGTCCATCAGGGGGCCTCAAAAAGGCTGCCTTTGTCATTTCAGAAAGTGAGATGACATCCCATTTCCTCGGGACAGGGATGAAGGTTTGGCTCAGTGATTCTTCAGAACATCCCTGTTGTTTCATGCACAGACTAAGGTCTTCTTTCCCCTTGAGAGCCAATGTTCATCAGCACAGAGCAAAGAAAGTGTAAAGGGTAGAAAGAGTGAGAAACTGAGAGAAGGATCAGAGGCAGGAGGGGAGGCTCAGAGCATTAGGTTTATGTCTGTTAGGAGGAGATGGATATGTGCAGTTTTGAGTTAGACCAAGGAGCTGTTTGCTGCAAGACAGGGAAAGGGAATGGGTTTGAAAACAAGCACTGAAGGTTATGAAAGGGTCGTGTATTGAAGGGATGCTGAGAGAAGTACATTTATGGAGAAGGAACTGGTTTGGGGCACCTGTGTGCAGCACTGTCACAGCCAAATATCATGAAAGAAGTCAAAACTGTGAATGGATTTGAATATAAGCGCTAAAAGGAAGAAACAGGGCTAGAGATAGACACAACAACATACAACGAAGCTGGGCAGGCAGTTTGCACCACCCCTCAGAGTCCTCAGTACTTCATCTGCTGTTCTTAGGAAGCCTGACACTGACCTAGCCCCAGTGGTGTCACCACGCTGAGAAGCCAAGTGAAAATGGAGCACCCAGGTAAGAGAGGAAGGAGAAAATAGGGGAAATCACTCCAGGCACCACAAGTGACACCAGGAAAGGATGCACCTTGCAAAAACCCTGCTCTCAACTTGTAACGACCTCACAGCCCTCCACAGAATGTAACAGGAGGTGGTGAACAAGCAGCTTCAGGACAAGCCTGGAGGCTTTAGGTACTGATTAAAGTCTGCTGTTTTGTAACATTTTTAAGACAGCCAGATAAGCACTTGGCTCTCTTCTCACTGCAGCAAATAGCAACATTCTCACTGACTTCACAGAAGCAAACCCTGAGGCACTTCCATCTCCTGTGAAACCATCTCTCTGAAGTCTATGTACTGTTAATGCACTAATCCTTGTGCTACTGAACACAAAAGTTGCACAAAACAAATATGCCACCTGTGGGATTATCCTCTATCTTTTCTTTCTGCATAGCCTGAGATATTTGGGGTTTCTGCACGTGTATCTTGGGCTTTGAGAGAAAGTGAATGGGAAAACATAAGTGTCCAGTGGGAAGAGACACCTTTTCTCGACCTGACTTCTCTTACCTATTTCCCTTTGTTTTCACATCCTTCCTGCTTGTCTTTTGCCTGCCTCTGCTACTGAGGTTTTCCCCTTATACTCATTCCTTACTCTTTAACCCTTGTCTTTTTCATCCCTAGGTTGCTCTGTTTTGATAGCAGCTGTGGTTTCAGTCAACCATGTACTGAAAATCCAACTTCTTTCATGTAAAGCATTAAAACACTCCTTAATGGGTGATAATCCATTTCCTTTCAAATCAATTTTGCTACTTTTGTAGAGTTCTAGCCCTCTTTGTTAAGACAAGGTATTTTTTGCTCTGTTTGCTTGGTTTCTGCTGGCAGAATACCTTCTGCCTTCAGAAACAAATGACTTCAAATATAGAACTCACTCCAAGAGTATGTGCAGTGAAAGGGATGACAGCATAATAAAGTGGCCTATTCTTCTTTATTTAGTTGTAGACCATGTAGAAGTCTCCCTCCAGACTGAAAAGGCCCCAGCCTGTACAAATCCAAATCAGGCAGATACCTCACTCAGCTCACTAACTACTGACAGAAAGTCCAGGGAACAACTCCAGTTTCTTGGCAGGAAACCTGAGCTGCAGCTGGAAAAGGTGATTTACTTTCGAGAGCCAGTGAAAATGCCAACTGAAAATGGTGTCTGCAGGAACAAACTGCAGAAATGAGGAACTACTCAAGCTATCACACAGCACTGGCACAGGTATCCATGACCAGCAGGTGGGAACTTCCAATTGCTACTCTTCTGGGCAGACCTGAACAACCAACCTGAGATTTAAATGCCCTACAACCCATTCTAGTTCTTACTCCCCTAAAACATCCCATTCTCCTCTGCAGGAAAGTGGCCCAATGTTTGTGTCTAGCATCCAGATGTCCATTCTCTGTCTTGCATATTTTTTCTCTCACTCTCATAAACACACAGAGAAGCTGAGATCCAGTTCAGCCTCTCCGCACAGTATTACTGAGACAGGTAGCTCTGGAATAATGAATTAGGGAATGGTGAACACGGGCAGCAAAGCCCCAAAGGGATGAGGCCCATTTCCTTGCTGCTGCCTGCTGCAGAGCTAAGGCATGAGTAAGGAATCAGAAACCAAACATGTCTGTTACTGATGAAAAGCTCTGGCCAATCCAGCACCACCACGTAACATTCAAAAAAGGAGACATGATGATGGAGAGGAGGGAATCATACATTCATTTGGACAGCTGGTGGCACTGAAAGAGCAGGCAAGGATAGTGGTGGGATGAAGAGATGCCAGATTCTATTATGGAGTCATGCTCTTCTGGAAAATTGGCTGGTAAAGGTCTAAGCCCATGGATTTTTTGTATCTGCCTGTCCTTTTACACAGATCTGCCTGCACAAGTGTGTGCTGAGAGGGGAAACTGATGGCCCACACCCATAAAGCCACAGCAAATGACAGTATTGTTACTACCCATCCTCCTAAGAGATTTCTGCAGCTTTATCCCTATCTTTTCTGCCTATTAAAATGTCAGGAATGTATTGGCACTTAATAATACAATTTTGATCTTTCCTGCCAGATGGATGTTCACATATTATGTTACGGGTTTCAAATTCTTCAACCTGTTCCTAAGGAGATAGATGACCTATGCGGGCTGGTGAAATGATGCTTCCTCATTTCCACTGAATAAATCACTTCAAAAGATAATTTAATCTTCTGGGAAGGCCATCTCAAACTTAGCTTAGTCTTGCAAGCATTTCCATGTAGCTTACTGGAATAGTGGCTATCATAAATAAAGCCCTGTGATCTTAATTAAGGGTGAGATATCTGTTTTTTTCTGTATTAGATATTATTACAGAGAAAGAGGAAAAGATCTTGTACAGCAAAGTAAAAATCTAACCATAGCTGTCAACATAGGATCTAACATGAATCAAATAGTTCAAGACACCTGAATTAACTTTTAGTGCCAAGTTGTCTTTTTTGTGGCTACCTCATTCTACAGTGCAAAAACAATGAGGCATGAATTGGAAAATAAATGTCTCCCCAACACAACACCAGACTAAAGAAATACAATTACAGTATGTAGGGAGTCAGAAGAGTTCCTTTGGACAGCAAAGGATACTGGCAGAATGGGCAGGGATAACTGGTAACCTGGCTTGAACTCTTTAGAACCACTGACTTATCCTACTTGTTGCAATCCACCCATTTTGAATGAGTATGTGATCTTTCAGGTGGGCCTTCTTCCTTTGGTCTCTCAGCTGGGTCACAATTTGAACTGGAGAGTCAGCCACGCTCAGAAAAACCAGGAGCCAGCAGATTTTCCAGGAATGTTAATAAAACCCCCTTGTTCTGACTACCTCACAGCATGGCAGTGCTAACAGAGCCTTTCAGCTGGGAGGGCAGTGTGTGCTTTTTTCTGCAGGTTTTGACACCCAATATTTCTGCCAACAGTTGCAACTTTTTGGCTGCAAATCACCAACCTCCTCTTCCATCAAACAGCTACTTTTAGAAGTGGGATTACTCTAATTAATGCCAATATGGGTCAGGATCACTTCCAAGAACACTAAGTCCAGGTATTTGCTGCTGTTATTAAACACAAAATCAAACACTAAATGAGCATTTACAAAGATACAGGCTGCAATTGCAACCCAGAGGTGATGTAACCGGTTTGAAACTACAAAATGTTTCCTAACTTCTCAAGCAGATTGGAATGCTACTGGCATGGGCTCGTGTCTGTATGAATCAAACTGTGATTGCTGGGAGTTACAAAGAGAAGCAGTGTGGTTCTCTGTGTGCAGAGGACACCTAGCCATGGCCAGCAAGAGCAGGCAGCTCTGAATAGGAAAAATGTCAAGTCCTAAACACTGGAAGCAAAAGATGTGAGAGAGATGCATTGGTAAGATATGAAAGGTAAGTGGATTTGCTGTGCTTCTGGTTTGATCAGATCATTTTGGTGATAGCCACTGGTACCAACAAGGAGCCAAAAAGCTTCCTGTTTAACTCTGGTGCCAGGAATCCAGGTTTTCAATTGTAAGCAGCAATACAAGATAAATGTTTAAAAGTAAACACAAGGCCTTCTTTCCAGCCTACACAGGGTTATGGTCCAAGATTTTGCTGGACTGTATGGTTTTGCAGTGCCTAACATGACAACATGATCTGATTGGAGCTGCACCAGTTCATAATAACCTTCTCCTCTTATCATCACCTTCTTTCCACGGAGTACCACTGATGTAACTGAAGACTTTATTGATAATCATAAGAGAGGGAGAATAACAAGCAAAGATTGCCTTAGAAGTCAAATTCATCCTCAGATAGTGGCAGTGTGAAGACTGGGAAGTTTACAGTCTTCCTGGGTTAATCTCAGAAGGTAAAGTGAAGGATAAGGCAGGCTTTTCAGAGCTTCCTGTCAGCAGCCAGCACCTTGGCAAAACATACTTACCAAGGACTCCAAAAAACTGGGAAGGGCTGGGAAGGGGAGCTATCAAAGGCTATACACCAGCCCTACTGTGAAACCAATCTCCCAAAGAAATTCTCAGCTCACTACATGAAGGACTTGAAGTCACTAAAATTTGTGAGAGAGACTCTTTCCTGACCAAGAACTATAGAAATGGCACCATGGGCTGCTGTGTAGTGTGTGTCAATGATGCCAGATCCAATGTGCAGAGCATACAATGAATGATACTTGCTTCCTAATTCCCAGCTTTGTGGTTGAAGCTGGAGGGCTTTTCAGTTTATGTATTATCTTGATTTTTATTTTTAATGTAAAGGCTCTGCAGAACCTATTAGAACCTTAATTATACAACCTATTCTTCAGTGAGATAGACATAAATACCAGATTAGATGGTAATAAACAGTTCTCTCAATCCTGCTTCAAAAGAAACAGAATCCAGCTTGTCCTTTTACAGCTGTGCTGATTTTATAAGGCTTAACGACAGCACATAAAGTGGTAAAGCTTATTTGTCACTAAACTGATTTGGCTGAGAATACACACAGGAATAGATCAGCTAAAGTATCACTCCTGTAGATGTTTTTCAGGTTACAGCTGCATTTTATATGTAAATATTTTAATTTTTACAAGGTAAATTTAATCTTATGAACAGACTTCATGGAAACCAATTTAGTCTTTCTGACAACAACATGCTCATTCCCCTGCTAAGATGGGTGGAAACATAAAATATTTCACCCCAGCATGCATTTCAATTTATTATGAGCACATTATTTTCTTCTATTGTGAAATACTAGTTGGCAGCAGTTTTCTAGTTTGCACAGGTAGGGTTGATACAGCAGCACTTGTGTCATTTGGATATTGGCAGCTCCTATGACAAACCTTGGCTGTTCAAAATTAACCTGTTTCTCAATGCCAGTGACTGTATGCAAAATCACTTCTCAGACCGATGACCACTGCTAGCAGAAGATGAGATAACATTTAAAGGACTAAACAAATTTGCCTTGCTGTTAATTACAGCATTCAGTGGTTTATAGTGGGTGAAAACATGTTCCTCATTCCCACCAGAGCTTTCACATGGCTGCTGAGCCAGGCAAAAGAACCTGATTAGCTCTTCCTGCTACAGTGTTAACTCTTCTGGCAAGAATGACCTCCTGTGCTCACGTCAGAATAGGGAACAACAGTGAGGTCAAAACTCTCAGAGAATACAGTTTTTCATACAATATTTGTTGTTACTAGATGAACATTGTGTCAACATCATGGAGGGGTTCTCATCTTCAGAACCACAGAGAATGGTTTGCCAAAAATAGGCTAAATGCTCACATTGTTCCCTTTCACTGCCCTGTCTAAACCATGGGCAAGCTCCAGGAGAAGAAACAGCTCCTCACTCAGACAGGAGGGTGGAATTCAGCATGGTGCAGCCATCACTGCTTACATTGTGAGCTCACCAACAGGAATGTGATTCAAAGGAAGCAGCTCCATTAAACTCCTATAGGCCATCCTGTCTCCTCTCTCTCTCTCTCTCTGTCTGTGCTGTAGCTGCCACAAAACAGTCTCCTGCTGGCCTTCACCTTGTCCTCTGTGTCCCCTGTTGGATTGCTGCTGACTCGGTGACAGCTGGAGGGCCTGCATGAACTGTGAGTGAGCAGTGGTCTCTCTATCTAGGGAATGCAGGGTGCTGCCTGGTTGTTATCTCTATAGCTCAATTAACTTGCAAGCTAATCAGCAGGATCGGCATTTCAGTATTTTTGTATGATGTGAATGCCAGATTCCAGGCAAGAAATGAAGTCTTGAGGAAGAAGAGGAATTTGCTGTCTGATGACTTCAAGAAGCTAAAGGTCTGAAATGAGTCTTCATAAGATCAGAAAAGTCACCCTACGAAATCAAATGAACTCCTATCAGGGCAAAGGAAAAACTCCCATCAGCAAAGCTGCCACTTAAGGGAAAGAGATTGCCTGAAACACAGGCCAAATTCTGCCTCAGTCACACATGCATAAACCTAACATTATCTCCACCATGACAACTTCCCTTTATGGCTACAGACTCCAGAACAACTTTCTTCAGTTAATGAAGAGAGAGTGTGGCAGCTGCAGGTCCAGCTGGAGAGCAGCACCAGCTCAGTGAACATGTCCCTAACATCTTGTCCTCCCTTTCACAGAGATATTTGAACTCAACCTAGATACCAGGATGGAAATCTAAAGAGAACAGAGTTCTCTCATACAGAATCTTTCTGTACAAGACATGAATAGTAAGACAGAAACATCTCCCTTAGCATTTGGGCATTTCCACTGTTGTATTTGGACCAGTGAGTAGAGGCACAAGTCCTGAAAGAAAGAATAAAGTCCACATGTGCAGAGGGGAGGGAAGGCTAGGGACAAGTTAACCAAAATTCATGTAAGCCCAAGCAAGCTGAGCTGAAAGGCTTGCAGGAAGCTTTTTTCTTATTCCTAGCAAGATTTAGTAGATTCACTGCTCCTTCAGTTAGAGACACAACATCCTTCCCCAAGTCCAGAGTGGAACTAAGACAGTTTACTCTAGCCAAGTGTCTCACATAATATGCCATATGTCTTATGGAGAATTTAAAAGTGTCATGCCCCAAGGACATCTGGGGAAGAAGGGGGTGGATGCAAAATGGAATTAAATAACACAGCATTCCTGTCTCAACAAATAGCAGGAAACCAAGGGAGACAGCAGCTAGCAGGGCAGCATTCAGCTTCACTGCAGAAAAGGGACTGAAGAATCATGAATCAACAGCAGCAAGTAAAGAAAAGAGGAAACAAAAATCAGGAAAGAAAAAAAAAAATCACTGGCCTGGGTTACAGTGAGAGAGGGTATCTCAAGTGTAACACCACACATTTGTGCCATGAAGGGGAAAGCTGTGGTGGAGCCTGTGCATCTGTGCATGGATGGGAGGAACAGAAAAAGGGATATGTGCTTGTGTCCTCCAGGGGAGTGAAAGACATAGAGGGTTGTTTTGGGGTGGGGAGTCTCGAAAAGAGCGTGGGGGAGCAGGGATAGGCAAGGGGAGGAGGTGCAACAGGACAGGACGGCGCATTATTATGTTGCTCAGCAGGGGCTGGGGAAGGTGAAAAGGCAGAAGGGAAGGAAGTTCTTACCACATTTGGAAAGTCTGCCAGTCATCAACTCCATACAGTTAGTGGTGTCTGGATCATAGAACGGAAAGAGGAGGGAGGGAGGGAAAAACATAAAAAAAGGTTTCCATACCTCTGTGCATAAAGTAGTAACTTAGCACATTATTACCTGAAGCAGGAAACACATACACATCTTGGTGTTTACACAACCCAGGCCAAATTCTGCCACCAACTCTGTGCCAGTGCAAACCTGGCCCTGTGACTGAGAGTGGAGCTGCTTTAGTACTGCTGCCTCCACTCACCCTTTATCAAAGCCAGAGGTATTCACGAGATGTGGGAAATACTCTGCCACCACATTAGCGAACTGTAAGCCTTGAATACAGTGCTTCACCTGGCTAGCTTTGCAAATTAGCCTGCAACAGCCAGGAAACACTCAGCCAGCTCAAATATCTACATCAAAAATCTGGAGAGAGGGAAGAAATCTAGCCCGGTGCTGCTGGACATGGAGTGAGGCTACTTGTACAGCTCAAAGTCATCTTTTAAACCCCAAAGGATAATGTGAAAGTTTCAATCTAACTCTCTCATTCAGGTGTAATCTCTTACTGCTCTTTCCTTCAAGGTGAGTATTTACAGGCAACAGAAGCACTTCTGGGAAGGGTGGCAGAATCTGGCCCTAAGACATTACTGTCCACTTGGTGTATAGCTCCCATTGCCACAGACTCTGGGTGCTTCTTACTCAGGTGCAACAAGCAGAAGGAGCTCCACATGTCAGCTTTAAAACAGAAAGGCCCAGCCCAGCTGGACACTTCCATGTGGAACCTGCTGCAAAGCCAGATCTGCTGCTGTCAGACAGGATTCCCTTGCATTTGGGATCTAAATCAATGTGTTCCAGGGGAATGTGGAGTACTCACTGCTGAGCAGGTGGCTACCAGTTAAAGCATTCAGAGCAGTCTCAGATATTCCCTTGCCTGGGCTCTTGATGAACACTTGGGTATTCAAGAAATAGGCTTGGAAAAATGCACACATATGCTGAAAATCCCTAATTGCCAGGAAGCTCTAACTACTCCCTGTCTGCTATAAAGTCTGCAGGACAGAGGGGAAGATAATTTCTCAGTATTCCTCCCCTTAAATATTGAGAAAAGTAATTTAATAAGAGGAGGAATATGCTAGGGTGAGCTGAACTCATGCTAGAAGAGCATGGATATGCATCTCTTCTGATGCAGCCAGGCTTGTGCTGGACAGATCATCTGGGAAAGTAGAGAGGGCAGCTGCTTGGTCCAGTGGCACTGGTCAAAGCATCTAAGCAGGGGTCACATATTCTCCATCCCTGAGGCTAAAGGTGGGCTGGCAGAGGTCAGTGGGAGATGATACCATGGAAGTTCTCTCAGAAAGCCACAAGACTGGGAGAAAGGGCAAGAAGAACTGATGATGTGAAGGAGAAGAGAACATACAAGATCTAGAACAACAGAAGTGTCAGAGAGGCCAGGAGTTTACCTGCCTTTGAAATTCTTTACTTAGTCTGGCAGGAAAACAATTTTATATACAATACAATTTCAATACATTTCTCCCTGAAGATGCCTAGCAGGTTTGAGAAGTGCCTACAGCTGCTGATCGAGCCAATGATCAGAACTCACACTCATGGGTCTGTATAATAATTTTTCTTTACTAATTTGGAGAACTCTGTTATCTTGTGCCTTTTAGGGGATCCTGTCCAGCCCCCTCAGAGTCACCAACCCTTTGCTGTAATGCAGAGTGATGCAGATCTACAGTGGTAGACCCCAGAGCATTCACACAACCATTAGCAGAACTTAGCTTTGAAAGAACACACAAAAGCAAAGAAAATCTCAAATATGTCCAGAAGATCGTTTCTCACTCCCACCTCCAACACCTGGAATGTTCCCCTCTAGTGTATCCAGACTGACTGGCCACACAGTAACCAGAAATCTGGAAACAATCAGGTAGTATTTGGATAATGTCAGAGCAGGTAAACATTATGTCTGGTTACTAAGATCCTCCTGAAATTGGCATTTGTTTCATTCTTCATTTTAACAAATTAAAAAGTAATCACGTCTCCTTAAGTTAACACTGCCTTTCTTCCGAAGTAATTTGCAGTCAGCACAGCTCTCTTTGGTACTTAAAGCCAGCTGTGTCACAGGTCTACACACATTAGTTCTGTGATTAGAATACAAGCTGACAGACCTACACACAAAAAAGGGATTGTAACACAGGCTTTTTGACAGCTGAATATCTTGGGCTCTGGACCCCATTTGGTTCCCAGAAAAGTAAATTTGCATGTTATAGAATTAGTTTTGATGAAAAAGAAAAATTTTCTGAAATATGAGCCCATGGAAAAAAAAAATCAAACTAACACTAATAAAACTTCTAATTTGTCTTTCTCAAAACTTTTTTGCACAACTATGCTTTGAATTCTCCATATTGTCAGGGCTAGTCCCAGGAACTGGAGAGAAATTTATTTTTGTTTGCACTGTCTTTCCAACACCTGATCAGACTGTCTTTCCCCAATTCCTAAGGCAGAGCCAGAGCTCATAATGCATCACTTGAAAGACAAGTGTTAATGTGTCTTCAGCTTCTCTTTTAGAATATCTACTTTAATAATTCTTTCATTTCCATCATATTGTAACATCTGCTTTCGTAAATACTTTATGTGATAAAGTATTCCATCATTTTAAAGCAGAATTTTAATTCTAATTGGAAGTCTTAAGGTTCTTGCCAGTCAGCTTCTCCTCATGGACAGTAATCCATAATCCAGTGACTGGGATCCAGGTGTTATGAGAAGTGAATGAAGCCAGGGTCCAAAGGTTTTTAACTGTCCGAGAAGCACTGATGGGTCATGTAACTGCATTTTTAATGTGTCCCATTTATTTTTTAAATTAAAACATAGTGGCAGTGTCAGCTCTCAATCCCTCTCATGATAAGGCAATTCCTTATTTTATAGGAATTGCTGGAAGTCACTCACACATTGGATTTGACCTAGACTCTTTCATAAATGACACCCAGTTCACTAACTGATGGCAAATGCTTTGGTTGAAATAAGACCTCCCTTCAAAAGGCCAAACAAGCTCTGAATCCATCAAAAACTACTAGTGCTCTGCTCATTTTTCTTTCCCAATTTTCTTTATTCTTTAATTTCTATCCTACAAAGATGTCATAAGGAAGCTGCCTGGTTTGTGATGCTTCTGATATCTCTGAGACCCATCCCAGCCCCGGAAATCTCACCCAAACAGCTGCTCCTCTGAGATCTCCAAAGCCAGGGCTGGATCCCAGAAAGCACTGAGCAGCTCCTGCCAGATGCTCAGAGTCCCCAGGAAACACCTCCACTAAGGAGATGATGTCAAGGCAACCACCAGCTCCTCTGGTCCAAGGCAGTTATCATGCAGATTGAAATTCCCCAGTGTTTTTCTGCTTATTTGAAATTCCCTGTTTTCCTATCAAAACTCTGGAGAGCTTGGACTTTTTTCTCCATGCTTTATTTCTGGACTACCAGTAACTAATTCAGTTAATTTTAATGAGGGTGTTCAGTAATAATACTAAAGCTGTTTAGCAAAAACACAGTGTTCTGCCAATCCAGCCAGGCATTACAGGGCACTTTTTGTAGGTGGAACTATGATAGCAAGATGAAGTAATCACCCTAGACACTACAAGAACGTAAGGCATAAAGGGTCACAGAAGATTGCAGGCAACTTGGGACCTGAATGAACCCCAGAAAAAGCTAACATGCAATCCAATTCCAAACTGGCATTTGCAGAGTCCTTTTATTTTTTTTTTGAATCTGCAGTTGGAAGTTTACCCTGCAAAGCACTTCATTTGCTCCTTACTCCCTTTTCCATCTTGATAAAATCCTTCACACATTTGGAAGCTGTAGGTTTCTTAGTTTTGCTTTTTTTGGTGGCAATTTGCCAGCCTGCAGCTCTTGTGAGCCATAAAATACCTGGAACTCACAGATCAGTGCTCTAGCAAGAATTTGCACTGGCCTGTTTTGAAGATGGATATGGTCTCTAAACACTTGTTTATGCTGATGAAAGGCACTCCCAGCAGTAACAGTGAGAGGTTCTGAACTTGGGGATGTCAATAGTTAAAATTCGATATGAAGCCAATAAATATAATACGGAAACAGGAAACCTTTTACAAAGAAGGTTTAAAGGTTATTTTAGTATTGCTGATTGCCCAGTACATGGGAAAATGGGAAAAAACTTGAATATGTAGCATCCCACACTTAAAACCAAAGCTCAGAGAAGCGAGAAAATATTAGGGAAATAAAAATTGCTACCCTGTGAATGATCACAGATGGCTTTTGCATGCCCCTATTCACCAGCTGCTACTATTACTCTTTCATGCAAAGGCATCAGAGAAAAACAGATCGTGATTTAATGGAAAGAGTGCTGGGCTGAAACAAAGGAACAAATCTGAGATATCGTCCTCCATGGAGAGAGATCTTTTTATCCCAGCAAAGGGCAGTCTGCCCAGGGATTACCTAAGTAGAGATTCTGAGTATAAGGGCCCTGGATGGAGCCATTCATGGACAAGAGACAAGGCTGACTGCTCTCACAGACACTGAGAGGCCCTCTTGATCCCAAAGGGGCCCTTTCATGGTCTCACTGAGCGTAATGGCTTTTGTGATAGCAGTAACAAGCACACATGGACAACTATTCTGGTTCAGATCAAAGGCCAAAACCATCTGAGAGTCAGACTTGATGACCCTTGTGGGTCCCTTTCAGCTCAGAATATTCTGTGATCTGGTGCTCTGTCTCCCTCAGCAGCTGCACAGACACCCAGGAGTGCAAGAGCAGGCCAGGCATACAGAACACTTCTCCTACTCCTGCCTCACTCACCACTGTCAGGTTGGAGATTTCCTGAACCTGCTGTAGTTTCTCTGTTTAGCAATCCCATAAAGATTTCTCTGCAGGGAGTTATCCAACCTCTCTGTGAGTAAGAAGTACTCAGGGGAAGATGAGCATCTGTAAGCCCCTCACATTCAGAACTTGTTTCAGTGAGGAGTTCCACCAGTTCTAGGTTACACAAAGACATGTTTTCCAATGACTTTCTTAGTACTCAGTTTCCACTATCTTATGCTGGCCTCTAGTTTATTTCATCAGGAAGAAAAAAGGATCAATCAATCCCTATTTACTTGCTCTGTGCAAGTCATGAGTCACAGACCTGGTACTGTCTCAGCAGTTATGGCACAGAGGTCCTGAAACATTAGGATACAAAGCTGGTATGTTGCACTGAATTTGTTCATTGAGACGGTGAATTTTAGAAGCATTACATTAACTTATGGAATGCATTTAATTTATTTACACTTTCTTTCAGGTAAGGGAGGGAATCTATTTTCCTGCTTCAGAGTATGCCAGAAGAAATACGCACAGCCAGTCTTAGAAAGGAAAAATGGAAGTGAATGAGAGGGATATATGGAAGAAGGGATATTATAAGGTGCTCAAGTGTGACACAGAAACATATCTGCCTAAATCAGGTACATAACAGGCTCACACACACAGAGAGATGCATGGGCAACATGACATCTACAAACACTGTTGTCAGCTGGAGGAATGAAAAAGAGGAAAATGCATTCTGAAACCCAGGCAGGCCGGCTCAGGGGGCTGGAATGCTGCACAGCAGATCAGAGGGGCAGCAGAGAGAATGACTCTCACTGCCATATGTTTGTTAGACCTTGCTGTTCTGCTTTATACTGAAATCATTAAATCTTCCCCTTCTGCAGGTCTCCCTTTACATGCATTCACCTTGCACGGATTGTTTTCATCATCCCACCTGTAACAGCATCAAAACTGTAAAGCAGGAGAGACAAGACACATCAGATGTGTCTGTGCACAAGGAGCTAGGAAAAGCTCCAGTGTTGAACCAGTGTTGCTGGTCAGGGGGCAGTACCATGCTCAGAGCCATGGAGGAAGAGTCTAAGTGAAGGTGATCTGCATCTGTTGCAGCAGCAGACTGCCCACAGAGGGTCCTCAAACCATGAACCTGAACAGGACCCAACCACCACAATCCCTGTGTGGTGTTCAGAGCTGGCAGTATGAGAGGAGAAGGGAAACAGAGAAGACTTTGCTTTATTTCTAGTGAGAAATGCTGATTAATTCCATGACAATTTCTAGGAAGATTTTGCACACATTTCCAACCAGACACCCAGCTAAGCAAGGTGCTGAATGTGAACTCTTCCGTCCTTTATCCTTTTACTTCCCTTTACTCTCACTTGGCTGGGTCTGTGAACTACTGGGCCACCCTGCTTTGATGCAAAGGTTGTCTCTTTTTTTGTAACAATCCCTTTATTTCCCTTCCTTTTCTCTCTGTCTTGTATGCTGCTCAAACCTAAAATTTTCAGGTTGACTTCTCTCATTTTCAAGACACTTGCATATTCCTGATCAGGTTAGGTGGTGTGATACAGAACAGTTTGGCACCTGTCTTGTGAGCTGTCTTGCCTGGGTAAGTCTCCAGCCAAGGGAACTGTAATTTTTAAATGTCAAGAGACCATTAATTTTGGTTTTGCTCCATGTGAAGTTATCTGTTCCAGCCTGGCATTAGGGGTCAGGCTGGGTTTTCCCTGCTAGAACAATATGCTGTCATGTAGCTTCAGGCAGTAGAAATAATATGATTTTTCCATTCCAGAACCAGAGCAAAACTGTAAGTCAGATACATTTCTCATAGCAGAGTATGCCCATAACATTTCCCTGAGTCTTGGTCAGATTAATGGTTTTTATTCCAGCTGTAATATGGCTTTCTTAGGGAGATAGCCTGCTTCACATGCAAGTGTGCAAGAGGGTTCAAGCTTTTCTATAGAGCCTCAGTAGCTAGCACATATTAGGGTGAAGAAGTTAAGAGAGATCATCAAGGTAGGTACTTTATAAACCTTTTTTTCTTCACAGGAAGGTAAGGGTACACCTCATTCCTGAAGAAACAAGGAATACTCGAATGTTGTCCATGCATCAGGAGTAATATATGAAATACATTTAAAAGATGCTTTCCTATCTCAATCCCCTCACGCCCACTCAGCCCTAGCATTTCCCAGGAGGAAGGGCTAGCAGAAAATTCTAGCTGCTTCCCTGAGTTTGGTTTAATTTTAGAAGTCCAGAGAGCAAAAACTTGAATCAACCATAGTAACAGTGTCCTCATTTTCCCTGCCTCTGAACAGAATAACCCATGTGCTGGGCACCATTGTATTCCAGCATGCAGAAGGATCAGGCAGTGCTGGAGGCCAAAAGCAAAGAGGACACTGAACTGGGCATATTTCTCTGTCAGGTACTAGGCATACACACTTCTAGATGCAGTTAATTTTGGATCTTTGGATGCTAAAGCCACAGTTAGACCAGAAGGATGTAACCCATATGTGCCGCGAGCTGAGGACATCTGGGACTTAATTGGAGGATGCAATGCCAACTTAACTCCCCCACTTTTGTCTTGGCTTGTTCACACAAGGGTCAAGAACAGAATTTGGCTCTAAAGCATAGTATTTATTTACTTCCTCTTCATCTCCCACTCCTTCTGCCTCACTGTCTTCTGCTGCAGCCTCTGCTCTCCACCTTGCTCCTATTTATCTCCCGTATCTGTACATTCTTTCTGCTTTTCCCTACTTTTCCTTCCTTGATGCATTCCCAATAGCTTATCTGCCTTAAGTTTTCAATTTTCACCTTCTTCTTTGTTCTGTCCTTTTAGAGGATAGAAGAGTTACCACAGAGATTTTGTGTGTGCGTGTACAACCACTACAGTGTTCAGAGTGAACACCTGCTACATAATGATGGGATGAGGCCAGTTTCAGTATTATCAATTCAGGCTGCCTGCACATCCAGATTGATGTCATTGCACAGGGTCACACATGTAAGGCTTTCTCTACCACCACGAGGAATTGAAATTTACTTTTCAAACAGATAAAATATAGCTTCTGCAGAACCTCAGTATATAATTTCTGCTACCACAGTATTGAGAATTGGATCACACTGCTGGAATCTATTAGCCACCTTCTGATCACATGTTAATGGCTAAGTTAAAAGTAGCTCTCAAGTTTGTTCGGGGACCCACTGAAGTTGGAGGTTTCTAAAGTATGCCTGAAGGGTTTGAAAATCAGGTATCCTCTAGAGCATGTCCCTACTCTGGGAGATTCTGGAACTGGCAAAAATCTGGAAGATCTGTTGATGATGCAGCTTTTGATGGAGAAGTGGGCAAATGGCTCTTTGGGCGGGCAGAGGGCAGAAGCTGTTCAACTGGGGAATGCGCCGGGAGCACTGGAGAGGGAATGAGAAACGGAGGAGTAGGGTGGGAGCAGGGAGTTACTGCTCTGTCTGAATGGAGCTTGTTTTTTGCCGTAATCAGAGGGATGGCCTCCCTCAGCCTCCTGCTATGAGAGGCATTTCACCTTCCTGTCCCTGCTGAAGGTGCTGGACAGTAGAAGGCACTTACCTGATAACTGCTGCACTGAAGGCTGGTCATGTGTGCTTAACAACTGTGCCTGAATGGTTTCTACTACCCTCTTAAAGCGACGGCTTGGACCTGCGGGGAGAGAAGAGGCACAAGAGGCTGTGAGAGCAGTGGGAGCCAAGGCCACACACAAGGCTGCAGGGGAAGAATCACAAGCATCTTCCCTTCAGTCTTGTCCCCAGAAGTGTCCTGACTGTGTCTGTCCTTCAGCCAAAGGGACTATGGTGTGCTGGACATGGTGTTCCTCTCAACAGGAAGAGGAATGGCTTTGGGGCTCCTTTTGTAAAGACAGAAAAGGTGAGGGGGTCTGTTTCCTTGTTGCAACCCCTGTGGGGGGCATGTGGCCACCCAGAAGAAAAGGGTGAGTGTATGTTTCACTCAGAAGGAAGAAACTGTGGTCTCACAGTGCCCAGCTGAGACTCTGGGACTTTTAAATTAAACAGGGAGCCAGTACCATGAGTTACACCAAAACTGATGGTGTTTTCTGATGGCACAGAACAGCCATTTTAGCACTAATCATGGCAGTATCAACTTCACCTCTTTGGGAATCCCCTTCCCTCCCTGCATTTCCATCACCACCAACAGCATTTTTGCTCCTGATGTCCTCCTTGCCTCTGACTGAATTTTCCTGAGGTCAAGCCAGTTATACTTTTTCCTCTGGCAGAGCAATTTGCAGGCCTCTATTATCAGCAAGGACCAAGCCAGCTCACACCCATTTCAGAGCTTTGCCATGGTTACCTGATAGGAGTGTGAAAGTGACAGAATAGATCCCGTTCTCCTTTTGCGCCTCTCCCCCTTCTGTGTATGTTATGTCCACCTGGAACTTCACTGGCTTCTGGAAGACAGCAGGACCTCCTGTGGACTTGTATTCTGCACGGAAACTTGTCTGTGAGATGACACTGTGACTGAGACTTGGGATCTGAAAGAGGTTGGTAGAAGCAGATAGAATCAGTGTTAAAGAGAAAAAAACTTGCAAAATTCAGTTTATAACAACACACATTTCCAGAATGAGTGATATTTGCTAGATTTGCTTCTGGTCTTGAATTTTTAATGTACAGTGTTCTTGTGAAATCAGTAAGAGCACAGTTGCTGGGCACCACAGAAGAATGCACTGTTGCTTACAGGACTGACCTAAATTTAAGGGTTGAATATTGGTGGAGTACCCAAGGCACTTGTGAATTTACAGATGTTGCTCAGCTTCATACAGTCAGTCTTTGTTTTCCTACACATCCATCAGTTTTGAGAAATGTCTTTTGCTGAGCAAAAAGTGGTATTAAGGGAGTGGGCAGAAAAGTCAGTGGGATATAAAATTGAATATAAAAAACATCTAAGTAGCCTGGTCTGATCTCACAGCTGATCCTGTTGTGAGCAGGAGACCTCCTGAAGAACTTTCCTTATTCAGTTGCTTGGTGATTCTGTGATGTCATATAGATTTCAGGATACTTGAAGTGCTTGGGACATCCACAGGGAAAGCATGCCTGCAAATAACTCACCCAAACTTCTATCAATATTTAAAAGAACTCTGAGAAGCTTTGTGACATCATCTATATATTCAGAACCACAGTGGAATTTCATAACTTCCTAATTTTCAAGCAGTTACCTTTCACACTTTCCTCCAAAATTTAACAACATACTCATATTCTATTTATTGCTCCATAAAGGACCAGATTAAAAAAAAACAAAAAAACAAACACCAAATTACTTGGAAATCCGGTCTCTAATCTCTAGGAGGAAAAATGAAGATGAGTTCTTTGAAAAGGTGACTTTAAAGGGTTAATTAGCAGGCTATGACAATGCATTTAAGTTTGGATGTTGCTGTAAGAAACACTTCACTGGTTTTGCACACAAGTCCCTACATCACACCTAAACCACACATGGGGTACACACAGGATCACCAGTAGAGACAGTGGAACACACTGCACAACAATACAAACCCAAAAGCACAGCTAAATGCATGAAACTGATACAGTAACACAGCTGCTTATAACCAGCCTGGGATGGACACCAGTGTCTGATGCCCACTACTGTAATGCACTTACTCCTTGTGTGCCTGGACAGTAACAAGGGTTACAGCTATTTTTTTGAAGAAGTTTATTGCAGAATCACAAAGACTAAAATGGAGTTCAGTATTTTGTGGGAAAAAAAAATCAATATAACAAACTATATAAGAAATCAAGTTTCCTTCTCTTAATTCTATTGGAAAAAGTCTAATTATGTTGGTAACTACCTTGAATTGAAAACTTCTTGAATTACCTTGTCTGTGCTGACTTTTTCATCACTGGTACCTCTAAATAATGAGAACAAGAACTTTCTATAGGAAAAAAGACAATTCCCCTCTGCTTTCTTCACACCTGCAACAACTGAAACTCTGGACACCGGAAGAAATTACCCTTCTTTCTGCCATACAGCACTGAAGTGGGGATTAAAGTAACAAGTGCAGATGTAAGACAGGCCTTTTGTCTGGCTGAAGTGGTGGAGGGCATTCCCATCAAAGGGAAACCCAATCTGCTGCCCAGCCAGAGACTGTAAGGCTGATATGACAAAGCAGCAAATCACTTGTCTTGATACTGTGCCAGCAGTGTGCTCCACTGCTGTAGAATCCCAAACTCTGGCAAGCTGGAGGCCTTGCCAAGAAGGCTGAAATCTTTTCTCACCTTAGAGAGCATTACCTACAGTTAGTAATTCACACACAGTCCAGTGCAGGCCACTTAAATTAAATCCACAGAGGATGCTTTTGAAGGAGCAGAGCCCCTGTCCAGTAACATTTGGCACACGGAGCTGGAATGACCAGTGAGGGATGCCTCCAAGAGGCAGCTGGGGTGACTCACCGAGAGGAAAGCGTGGACTATATCAGCTTTAATGGAGCTTAATGGTTTGTCCTTAATGACCACAAAAATCTGTTCTTCTTTCTCCAAGTTGATGAAGTTACCGAACCAGGATTTTTTGGCAAGCCTGATGTGATGAAAAGAAAGAGATGTTTAGAATATGGAACACTATTACGTATTTCATACATGCCCCTAGGTAGAAAAAATATTAAAAAACAAAAGGCTTTGATGACACTGCAGATGTGATGCTATTACTACTAATAAATGGGAAATAGTATCACAGAACATCCAGAATGACATTTCACTTGGTGAAAACTGATGACATGACAGACCCCTCAGCCTAGGTCTGGCAGCATGTGATACTGAAAAATCAGGAGCAATGGTAACTCTTCTGACTGAGCCAACATACCAGTGAATATTGCATATATAATGTACACATAAATCAGGGGACACTTTCCTGGTTTGTCTCCAGGAATGTCTCAATTTCTTGTGACAACATGCAGACCCTGGCAACATAAAGATTTAAGTTCCTTCCCACCCAATTTCAACTCCTTTGGTTTCTTCCCACCCAAGCTCAACTCCTTTGGAAAGATGCTTTTCTGAAGGCATCCTGTACAATCACAAGACCTTGCTTCTTGAAGCAAGCTGTAGATTTCACTGGAGCTCCAATCTACCAGTGAGTGAAATGCACAATTACACAAGGCCAGGACAAAGACTGTTCTGTTCATTAGCCCCATTCAGGGTGTCTATATTGCGTGTGAACTCTGGCCAGCCTACAAAGGAAGTATTAAGAAAGGAGATAACAACAGCGTGCAAGACACAGTTTAGGCTTTCCACTGACAGGAGTGCAGCTCCTCAGTTTGGTCCAGCATCAGATGGTGGTTTCATCACAAAATGAAATTGCTCTGTTTTTTCACAGTGATCTTATCAGCAAATGTTTGATTTTGCTTATTGTTTAACCATTCCAATGCACTTCACTGACACTGGCTTCTAAGTCAAACAGGCTAAAGGAATAATTCAGGGACATGAGTGTTAGTGAGAGACACTATCCAGACCTGAAAGAAGCATCTCTGACAGGTGTGGTTTTGAGAGGAGAAAAGAGGCTGTCATCTGTGAGACACAGCCAAAGACTTGCTGGACCAAACAAAACCCAGGGAAAACCACACCTGAATCAGCCATATTCTAGTAGGAAAGAATTCATTATGAAAATGTCAGAAATTAAAAGACCTGCCACCAAGAGATTGCCTTTTTTCCCCTACTACAGCATACTTTATAACACCAAATCCAGTTTGCAGTATGGCAAGCAACAGGGTGGACATCCATCACTCAGTGGAGGAAGACAATCTCTCCAGACAAGGAGAGCCATCTGCAAAAGGGATTGCTACACACCAGTTTTCCAGCAGAGCAATAAGCAGCTGCAGTAGGCTGCTATCAGCCTCACTTTTTGTGGTAAAGTGAGGCAGAGAGGAAGGACAGAGGCTAAGAGAGAGAGGAGCAAACTAAGAAACTAATTTGAACTCTAGGCTTTCAGGATAAAGAACAAAGCTTGACCTCAGCAGTGTCCAGCAATTTGCACTCATTCCCCATCCCAGAGTGCTCCATGAATCGTGCAGCTGTGGGCCCACTGCCTATTTAACGCACACAGCAGAAAGACACAACTGGAAGAGTGCTCAGCTGGGCAAATAATGATTTGCTTAATTTACTGCAGGCAACCAAAAATAAGAGTAGAGAAAGATTCACTTGCAATTTGGTTAAAACAGTGCCCCCCACTCAATTAAAGTGGGCTGGAAAACTGTCACTCCCTAAAATATTCATAGGCAGCTGTAAATAAGCTAGTGAGCCAGAGATTAGCATAGGGAGCAGTAAAGAGAAAGGGCCTCTCATTTAAATGGTCGTTAAGGAGCTAGGGTTAGAGTGAGAAAGCAAATTACATACTAATTAGCTCATGTGTCTCTCACACACCACAACAACTCTGCAAGCCCCTGGAGAGCTGGGGCAATAGCTCCCTGCATGTAAGGGGTCTGTGCTCATTAGTAAATTAGCACCTGGTTATCCATCTAAAACGGCTGCTTGTCCCAGGCTTGGATGTATCATCATCTGAACCAGGGCTGCTGGATGCACTCCAGGGGCCAAGGGGAAGCATGGGCCTGGAAAAGTGTGCTTATTTTATTGCAGGTCTGCCATCTTAAAATATGGCTTTTCATTTTTCTATTTTCGTTAATGGTTTTGCTGGCCCTTCATTTAGAGTTATCTTAACAAGCACAGGTAACAAGGACCCAGAACACTGGGAGTTTTTTTTTCCCTGCTCAACATGGTCTGGAGCCTCCAGAATCCATCTGGGCTCTTTTCCTTGGTGAGGTTATCACCAGTAATAGCAAGTCTGGAAGATTCACTGCTAGCCTGGGCTATGCTCCAGCTTGTAAATCATTTGAATTCACTAAAATAATTTTGCTGGTGTCACATAAGACAGAATAGATGCCAGTGGCCTCTCCTGTTTCTGTAATGAGCAGAATCAAGACACAGCACACATGCTTTTCTCCCTAAAACAGGCAGAACTAGCTGTACTCATACAGCTAGGGAATAGTTTTGGAGTAAAATTACACATTAAAGCCTTTTCTCCTCTCAGAGGGCATTAAGTGCTACTAACTTGGGTTTAAAATGTATATGAATCCTCAGCATCCTGAATGACATGCTCTAGCATCTCTCAAGATCAGGTTGTAAGCAGAACAAAATGTACTTAAAATTAAGAATCTTCTCTTACCAATGCAAACTTCTTAAAGGGAGAGTGAGATAGGAGATATGTGGAGGAGGCTGGGTATGTAGATTACACTAAGGGATCCAATCAGGTGTCCATTTGATGACAAAACAAAGGAAGTAGCATGAAAATAGAGGCTGGTGCTTTATTACTTCACACCAAATTTCTCACTCCTATAATATTGTTCCTTTTCCTACTTTTGGAGTGTCTGACCATGTAGCCTTCTGTGTTCCCCCTCTGTCTCTGAGCACATGGATCAGTAACCTCCAGAGGTTTACCTGCCTGGCATAAATAGCAGCATTTCTACTCAAGCAAATGGAGCTTTGCAGGTTTTAAGCAGCTGGAGCCGAGTCTCTTTAAATGTCATCCCTAACACATTTTCTAGGGCTTTTTCACATGAGAAAGAACAGCATTACCCAGACACCTCAAAGTGTATTACCTAATCATCAGGTTTGTCAAATGAATGGCAGGCATTGCTGCACCAGACAGAGCTAGGACATGTATTTATCAGTCAGCTCATGAGGTAAATATAGCTCTTGATAAGGATGTCTTATTTCTCACAGAAAAGAAGAAAATATGGGAAAAAACAAGATACGTGGAAGTGGGCACTGAGCAACAGACATCTATCATTAAAATATAATCTAGTTCATTATTTTTTATGACTTTTATTATGTTTACTGCAGGGTGCAGCCCAATTGAACTCATTAATTTGGCAATTATACAGAAAAAGAAAAGAGGGCCTTAGGCTTTGACTTGCATCCAAACTGCCTCAAATAAGAGGCACTACTTCTCTCCACCAGCTTTTAAAGAGTGAGTGGGAAGCAGGGAAGGCAATAAATTAACAGCAAAAATTCTACCAACATACATGCAATGAAGAGAAGAAATTTAATTCTAAAGGTTTTCTGTTTTAATGGCTTTAAAAACATGTGAGATGGAGTATTGTATATTTCTGTGATAATGATGTGCCAATTTTATGACATTCTCTCATGCCTCTCTATTAGTAAATGCTCGAAAGTGTTGAAAACACAGTATATTCCATTTTTCTCCCTGGATACCTTTACTAATCCCTACTTCTCCCTCTCCTGAAGTCTTTATCCCTCTTTATCCCTCATTCTGCAGTATTTATACATAGAGTGTCCATCTCACACCAGACAAAAGCCAGGCCTGGGGCAAGTTGTGAAGACAATACCATTGTCACCATTTACAAAACTTTAAGCTCAAAATTTCTATCCAAGACTCATGAATATTTCATACAAGTCCCTTAACAAGAGGCCAAATTGCCTTGGTTGGCAGGCTAAGTCTATGGGCATTGGGTGCACAAACACAAGCTGTGAAAATAAAAAGGAATAATTTGGCATCTGTTGCATATTAGGAAGTGTTTGGAGCAGCACTCTGGCAGGGACTTCCAAACCTGCCATGCAGTGATGCACATTTGTGCAGTGAAATGGCTGAAATGTACACTGACTTTTAGGAATGAGCCTGGTGAATATGAAACAGCTTCTCCATGTCCCAGTACTGCTGCCTAGAATTAACACTGCATTTACTCTGGCAGCCAAAGATCCTCTGAATCATCTTAGCAGAGCCTCCTGCATGTTTTCCTGAGGATGCAAACTCTCCTGTACTAAAAGGAAGACTTCTTGGTGCACAGTTAGTGCCAGTATAAGCCTCTGATGAGCCTCTCCAGTCCCAAAGAGTGATCTACTTGACAACAAAATAAATGAATAAAGAGAGAAGAAACAAACCCACAAATTCAGCAAGCTGTGAGAAAATGAGGGGGTTACTGGGAGACCGTTTCATCATCTGTTGAACCCCTGACATTACTGAGGTATAGATTTTATGCAGGGTCCTCAACAAAATAATCCTTTCACATCTCTGTCCCACCCACAGGACAACAGGTTACAAACAGATACTGATCCAGAACAGAAATATGTCAGCTTATGAGATTCAGGCCAGGAAATGACACTGGTATTTGGTGGAAAAAAGGCAAAATACTTACTCTGGGGATGATTCTGGGGTTAAATTAGACATCTCTTCTGGTGTAGGTACTGTTCATGCATGGACAGCCAAAGAGAGGGAGGGAGAAAAGAAATATGATTCAGTATACCTTCCATTTTCAGTGTGCAGACCAATGAAAAAATTCTGCACTTGCTTCCATTTGCCCATTGCCTCTGCAGGCTAGTTCTGACATTTAAATGCTGCTCATATGTCTCTAGATCTCGGCATCTACCCGAGTGCTGCATTTCAAGGCTCACTCTACCCTTAGGTCATTAGGTAATCTTGCACTGGCTTCAGTGGTTTCTGGTCCAGACCCAAACACACTGTGCCAGTAACTCTGCTGCCACTGCCTTAAAGCCCAGCTGGATGCAGCTCAGCCACTGCTGCAATTCTCTGCAGTTGTCTGACCACCCCAGAGACAATGGCACTGGCCATCACAGCTCAAAATCTGACTATATGATGGCTGTAATCCTCCTTTCCCATGGGATCACATCCCAGCACCATGGAAAACCACAGGGTGTTGGGATAGCTGCTGCTGACATCCAAGGATAAGCCATGTGACTTTGGCTGCCCTTTGCTGGCACACAAAAAATGCCACCTGGAGCCCAAGGAAGAAAATTGTTCACATCTCAACACTCTAGAGACGTAGAAAACTGAAGTAGGCCAGCAGATACGAAACCATTGATTGTATTAAGGAGATTTTTGCACCAATTACCAAAGGAGGCAAAAAAAAGAATTAGCCAAGATCAAAAAAGCTGTGCTTCAGAAGGACAACTTCAGCCTATTGCCTCTGGCTGTCTTTTTTTTTCAGCACAAGGCTCAGCCTGTGGCTGTGGAAAGGCAGTGGAGCACAGCCACAGGGGAAATGGCTGAGCCCTAGGTTCACTTGCAAAGCAAGAGAAGAAACTGAAGACAGATTTTTCTTGTGGTCTAAGAGCCACAACAGGGACAGTAAGAGCTGCATGGCTGGAGTGGGAAGTGGGCTCAGGAGATGCTGTTGGAGCAGGGGCAGTGGCACGACAGAGCCTGCTCACATGTGGGTTAGGGCTTGGCTGATGCCATCACTCTCATTTTCCACACCAATATTCAGTCCTTGGCACAGAGAGTTTGCAGAGCTACAGACAGGAATGAAATTCCTCCTGAATATCTGCCCAAATCAGAACCACCCTGTACGTTTGGGTGAGTACTCACCTTGTAATTTCCGACGATGGAAGCGAGGAGACCCCAGGAAACTATTCTTGATGGAGTTGAGCCGTGTCCTCCAAGGCATTCCTCCAATGCTGGGGCTGGATGGTGGTGTTGGGTTGGGTGTGCCTGCTGGGCTCTCCTTTGGCGTATGAACAGGTGTCCCCTTGGGGGTAGGGAGGGGACTTCCCCTTGGAGAGGGGTGAGGGGTGACCTGTATGATGGGGATAGATTTGGTGCTTGGGTCAGTACTAGAAGGGAGCAATCTAACAGGAGACATAGGGTTGGTCTGCACTTTAGGAACAGCCAGCTGTGGGTTAAAGCCGGCAGCAGGCGAGCGGCCCTGAGCATTCTGCACAGGGTTGTTCTGGGAAGAGGGGGCGCTGGTATTGCTGGCAGGGAGTGGGTTGGATTTAGTAGACTGGAGTGGTTTTTCAGCCAATTTGCTCTTGGATGGCAAAGTCTGCGTCTTTGGGTTGGGCTGAAGTGCTGGCTTTGGTTGGAGTACATGTCCAGGCCTGGAGGCGTTCCTACAAGCATCAGGGTCCAAGGAGACTTGGGGTCGGGGAGAGAAAGGGAGGTCGGAGGTCTGAGGGGGGATGAAGAACTTTCTGATAGGCTACGAGACAGACGCAGAGTGTCCATGCACATCAAAAACAGTGAAATACGCAAAGAGCGGGCGAGCAGAGAAAGGAAAGTCAGAACAAAATCCATCCGAGTCACAAAGATGCACCATGTCACAAGGAGACACAGGAGATGGAGGTGAAGGGGTAGTGGGGGGGAGGGATTTTGCAAAGAAACGAAAACAAACAAACAAACAAAAAACAAAAAAAAGACATGCAGTTAGCTGGGAACACAGCATATTCAACAACAGCAGCAGCGGCAGCAGCAAGAACAACAGTGTCATAACAGGCTTCATCATATTAACCAACCACGTGTCAGCAAAGGAAAACAACAGAAAGAAAAGTACAACAAAGGAACAACAAAAAAAAAGAAAAAAGAAAAAAAGAAAAAAAAAAAGAAAAAAAGGAAAGAAACCAAGAAAAAAAGAAGAGAGAAATGCCATCTCTCTGGGATTGTTCTGATTGCCCTGCAGTGAGAGAAGCACGATGCTGTAGGGAGGTGAGGAAAGGGAAGAAGAACCACTCAAGCCACAGACAAATTGAGATGTGCCAAGAAAGGGACCACCTCTTTCAGCTCCATGTGCCCATATGCAAACCCAGTAGAGAGATGAGACTCAGAACAGGTGTGTGATACATACAGAGTGGCAGGGGATACACACAGTTACTGCACACACCAGTCAGAACCTCTTTCCTTCCTCTTTACCCCTGGCTGAGTAATGCACCAGTTGCAGCCACCCGTTGCAGAAAGAGGGGGAAAAGGGAGAGTGATGCCACCTGGGCACCCACTCTCCTCCCCTGATCTGGAAGGTTAAATTGCTCAGCTTTCACTTGGAAGCTTCAGAGCACACAACACCACGAGAAATATAGGAATTCAGATTGGTGTTTGATTTTTAAACTGCTACTGCAAAACATTCAGTAAGGTCTGGTAAATTTATTTATCTGGGAAGAGATGATACTTTCCATCAGACTTTATGCTTCTCCTCCAACATCCCTCATTGCATTGAAGGATAGCTTGATAATTGGAATTTATGTCATAAAGTCTCAGCAATATTTGCCATTAAGTCCCAAGCCTAAGAAGAGGGTGGGGGAAGGCATTGTTTTGTAAGACACAGTTTAAAAAGAAAAAAGACAAGCAAAGTTCATAATCCATCGCTGAGGTATCAAAATGGGATTATGATTTTTTTTCCCCAAACAGTAACATTTACAGATGTTAAGAGGTATTTTGGGAAACCATTCATACTTTGACAGCAAACAGCAATAGACAGACTTGGAAGGGTAGAAGCCTTTTAGGGGATATTAGCAAGCTAAAAATCACATTTAAAACAAAAAAAAAAGTCCTTACAAATCATTGCTATTACCACCTTAGATTACAAGTACTGGCATAATTGTAGAAATAGAAATCCCTACTCAAGATATTCAGCTTTGGGCACCCTTTGATTTCTAAGAAGTATTACCTATGAAAAATTACACCATCACCATTATTATTATCCATACTTGACACCTAAAAGCCATAATCAAGAACTAACCAGACATACCATGTACATGAAACCTTCCCTCAAATCTCAGTCCCAGGTGAACACACTCACTAGGGAGTTCCTTCTTGGGTGTGATGGATTAGCACAATGCTGCCGTATTTTAAAAACTGTAGAAATGTATTTAAGACTTATGTCTCTAAGTTGTTTACATCAAAGTTTTGCAATTACTTCAAAGAACTTAGGGTTAGGCCACCAAAATTAAGGGAAAATAAGTACACCAAAATATTTGTATTACTATTAGGATTGTAAAGTTAAATTTGTTGCTAAATTCTCATTGTCAATGAGCAAGGAAGGAGAAAAGATGTGTTTAAGAAAGTGTTTAATTTGTGTAAGTCACTATTGGCATCTGACTATTAGCTATTTGCAAATGACACCGATGGATAAAACTCAAAGACTGTTATTTGCAAACATTTCTTTGCAATTTTCCTATCTTACATGTATGATGGCTTGAGAAGCAGAGTTGAAAGAAATAAAGTACGATTCAACTCCCTCTTAAGCCATTAAGAATCTGAAGAGGTACCCTTAATTACCATATATTTAATAATGAAATGGAGAACAAGATTAGGTCTCAATTTCAGCTGGTGCAATGTGGAACACCATTAGCAGGATCTTGTGAAATTTGACAATTCTTATTTGCTGCTGAATTCAATTCCTCATAGAACTGAGCCTAAGCAGTGCAAAAAGTGAAAGGTGTATTTGTTTTTTAAAGTATGTTCTCTTTCAATAATCTAAGGATCTATTAGAAGCATGGGTAAGGACATTTAAAAAAATATGATTTTTATTCCAACATTTTCTTTTAAGCTTCAAATATGACCAGCATTAATATCATTATGATCTGCTGAAAATGCCACCTTATTGCTAAATCCCTTTGAAGACTATTTAATCAACTGCCTATTAAGTAATAATGGTAAGATACAGAGACTATGGGATCTTGTCAAACTTATTCTTTGATGTTGTTCTACTGAGATGTCAGAAATTGATCCCAAGAGATCAATTAATGAAATCAAGATTTAGGTTTGCTTCACTGGATGCTTATTTTGTGCACAAGACTGTTTCCATGCTCTTTTCCAGTACATTTTGAAGTGGCATAAGAGTTCTCAGACTCTGCTCCATTTCACTGGCAACCAGGAGTCCCAGTGCAGAAAGAAGGAACTGGTCCCTAGGACTTTAAAGACATAGAGGAGACCACAAGAACACTTATGCTGGTTTCAAAACAGGATGACAATTGGCAGGAGCCCAAAATAGGTTTCAGAAGGTAATTCAATCAAGCAAAGTCCTGGAAGCTTTACTAGGCTATAAACTTAGAGCTGACAGTGTGTCTTTATTCACAAGAATAACACAGAATATTAGAGTGGAACTGTGATTTCAAATACTTGGAATATTGACATTATCTTCATAAAACTGAGAGTAGATCCATGGATGTATCCATACCCTAAGACATGGACTATATCAATTTATTCTCATGAAGTCATGGGATGTATGTAGAAATCCTCCAGAGACTCTGGGCCAGACATTAAGGTAGCATGCACTATTACAGCCCAACAGACTTTTTGATGAGGTCTAGACTCTTGTTAGGCACTGCAGTCTTAAAGTGACTTAGCCTTTTTAAGCACTAGGAATACTCGCTTTTATCCCTAAAGAAGTTAACAAGAAGAGAGAGGCCTCTGTCATTGCATTTAGAAACTGTTACAACTTCAAAACAAATGTACTATCAAGCATGTGTCGTACTGGCTGAGTATCACTATTAGCTGAGTATCAGTATTTAGTTGACTGCATGCTTAAAAAGGGCATGTGAAAGTACCTTGTTTATAGGGATTTGAATGTTCTTTACTCATCCTAGTCAGTCAACTTTTTACTTTGTTTTTAAATTTCCTAGCCCTCAAATTTGCGTAATTTATTTTCTCTGAATTCCTAATATGAGCTATTCTGAGGCAAACAGAAATTAACCAGCATGCTTTGGTGCTTTACCGTGACCTAATTGAAGGCAGCTGTGAAATGGCTCCTGATCATTTGGTCTCACACCAGGCTATATGCAGACCTCAGCTGGCTACGGAGTGTTTAGTCATAGCAATGTTATTCTGTGTGCTTAAGGGACTGAAAAAGGGCAGGGCCACAGTGAGACCCCTGCTAACAGTGCAGGGAACACGTAAGAGAAATTCCCCACCTGCATTTGTAGGTAACATTTCCCTCACCATCCATGAAAATTTACAAGCTGCCAAGGAAAAGCAAAACATCCCAGCTAAGAGCCACAGCTCTGGCGCAACAGATGTCAAAAAGCATCAAGCATGTGAGTGGATTGGACCAACAGATCTTGAAGCAGCACCACTTACCCTTGGACTGCTGAGAGGACTGGTGGAGAGCCCAGACGATGCTCCGCTGATTGACCGAGACCTGAATGGACACAACAAGGAAAACATCCCTCAGAAAACTCAGACAAGTAACAACCCTGAACACCAGCCACCACAGGCACAGGCATGAAGTGAGGAGGAGGAGGGAGGCTGTCACTGGAAAAGGACATAACTCTTTCCTTTTCTTTCCTTTCATTACTGTCATGTTTTTCAGCTATCCCCTCCGCCCCAAATCAAAGAAATGCTGTTGCTCAGGGAGAATACTATAATCCCTTTCAATTAAGGCAGTTGCTACTTTCTCTTTGGTCATCAAGCACATGGAAGCTACTAGGTCCGTTCTGTGCAAATTGAACAGCTCAGTTCAAAAGGATGGTGAAGACATTCAAACTTGTGCTAAGAATTCTGTTTTGCACAGCTCTGGCGGTTACAAAATGAGACTTTCTCTGTCACAAGCAACATGGACAAGCACCATGCGTACAAGGCACAAAGGTAGGGAGTTCTTCCAGATAATAATTAAAACCCCAAGTCTCCTTGACTCAAGCACACAATCATTCCTTATGTCATGACTTCCCACTGAAATAAAAGATTGCACTGGCTTATTCCTTTCCAGCTTCTCACTGATGGATTTCACATCTTTGCTCTCCAGTGAGAATTCTTGCTGCTGAATTAAGCAAGCCATGTCTTCTCTGTGGATAACAAGTTCTGCTTTTGTTGATGACTTCACTAATATCAAAATTACAGTTCAGGTGCCCTCAGAAAGAGGCCAGTCAAGGGAGAGTGAACTGTCCTATCTGCTGACAAGGTCACCTAGACTGTTAATGGTCTTATGCTCTCCAGCAAAGGCCACCTATGGAAACTGTCAGCTGCTGACAATAAAATGTGCAAATGTGCTATGCTAAGTGTGGTGGAAGAGCAGACAGGCCAGACTGCACAAACATTTCAGCAGAGGAAGTTCCTAGGAGGAGGGCTGCCCTGCAGAAAAAAACCCCACACCTTACGTGTGAGCCCCAGAGGCAGCTGCTTTCTATCCTTTTTAAACAGAAAGTTGTCTTGAAGGCTGAAACATTGTACAGGAGAGAATTTGGCTAAGAACCTATTTATTCAACAACCACCATGCAGCAATATGTCAGTAGAGCAAAATAACCAATGTTTCCTACCTACAATAACCTACCTATAACAAGAGCCATGAAAGCAATTACTTGCCTTCAGGTAACAAACACGAAAAGGTGAAATTCCTGTAGAAAACTGAGTGGATGAGTGTGTGTGTGTTTTAATATGTGTCTGTCTGTGTTTACACACATATATATAAAAAATTTATATAGGTCAGATATGTGATGTCAGCTTATACATAAGCATATAAAACAAATTTAGACCATAAACTGTATCAACTTACTCTCTTCAGCTGTTGTAGAACAAAACAGAAAAATGGTCTCTAAAATGGTCTCCTAGACATTTACTATTAAACAAGTTTGAGTAGGAGAATTCTTTAAAAATAAGTGAACTGCAAAAGAGGAAGTATTTCCAAGGAAAGAATAATCTACAACTGAACACAATGGTAAGTTCTGTTTTCTCTACTTGTATCCTCTGCCGTGATGGTTTTCTTTGTATGCCACTGCAGTTTGTCCATCACACTAAGTAGGTGAAAACCAGAAGCTCATTCACAGCACTTTTTTTTGGCCAGATTAAATCTCAACTGGCACCAAGAAAATCTAGAGCACTCACTCTATGCAGAAAATTCCCACATAGGTTTTTTTCTTGTACCCTGATGTAATCTGCCCATCATAGTGCAGCAGAAAAAAACTAGAGGCTCACTCTTGGCATTCTTTCGCACTAGATTAAGCCTAAATTTGTACCATCAAGATCTGGGGCACTCACAAAGGTTTATGCAAAGTAATTTTCAGGGGAGAACTATCTGCTCCACTTTTGAAAGACTACTGTATGTGCCTTTCCTATAAGCGAAGTAGCTGACTGCACCACAGATGTGTCGTGCAGATGGGAAGTCCATTTAGTTAAAATGTTCCTTGCATGAATCATCAGGAAAAGCTTCTTCCAAACCATGAATTACAAGAGGAGTCTATAGATAATTTTGTACAAATGTGGAAGGCATTCAGGTGCCCAGAGATGCAGTTAAACACCAACTTAAAGGAGATGTTCCCACCAACTCTTCATTGTGGCGGGAACATGCTCTCTGACACTCACCTGAATTCCAGGACACTTGCTTAAAAGTTCCACTCTGCTATTTCCTTTTTGCAATCAGGTGTTTCAAACAGTCCTGAATTCTCACTTCCCAACCCCATTGCCTCTTATCTTTTTACAAAAATGATCACACACATGTAGGGCAGAATACGGCAGTCCCCACCTCCCAAATCCCAGTTTTTTATTGGAAGCAATATTTGAAAAATAGTTGTTGTGTACTGTGCTTTCATCCAGCCTAGGAGCCTGAGGCAGGGGACATAAGAGAGAGTTAGTATGAAATCCTCCTAGAAATGCATTCAGTATCCACATGATTGCTATTGAACAGGATTTATTTCTGCTGCTGATTTACATGCAAAATATGTAAGAAGTAAAGTAGGCCCTATAGCAAGCTTCAGTTTGTCCACACTGGAAATTGTATATAGGAGCAGTGGAAAGAATTTTAAAAAGCCTCTGTTCAATTTAAGCATTGGGGTAAAAAGAGAGCTATACATTTTCAGAGGACTTCCTCCTATACCAGAAAGTGGTAGTAGAGGATATGACACCAAGACTGAGGAGATCTTCCTCAATTTAACAGATCTCCCATAATTTACCTTTACAAATGGGATGTGATTCTCAAGCTAGCTATAAAAACTCAGTACCGTGCCCTACTACATGGTTCTGTACTCCAGTACAAAAAGTGCTAACAAGCAAACATGACAGATTTGTCCCTCTCATCAAGATCATTTCAGCTAAGCAATGCTGTAATTCAGTTTGTAAAAAAACCCAATCACATGCACTGCTCCTGTATCTCAGAGTCAGGTGGACAGAACTGGGACAGGGCCAAATGAAAGGAATGAAAACGTTGCATTATGCTGAAATGCTGTAATAAAAGAATAGGAATTTAAATTTTTAGCCCTCTCACCAGAAAATGAAAGTTTGAGGCCCTACAGGCAGCATTAATATGGCAGACTCTTACGTCTTATGTGTGGAAAGAGGTATAACATCCATTTATTTCGTCTCCATGGCTATGAAATAAATTTATTCAGTGAGACGTATTTATTAGTGAGTAACCTCCTAAGAGTCTTTACAGGCATCAAATGTTACTGGAAGTATTAAATCTATAATTATTCCAATAACTTAATACGAAATGCAACAATCCAGGAAACTGTGAACACTTTCTGTGTGACTCATTTTGCTCTGTGTTTTGCATTCTTGTGTGCTTGTGCATTAACTCAATGGAAGTCATCTAAAGGTTGCTGAAAATACAAGCTGGAAAGACAGTGCAGTTGCTCAGATAAGGAGCATTCCCTCAAACACAACTGCCAGATTTAGAGACCCAAGAAGAGACTCTTTAGTGACACAGTTGTTTTGACAAGCCTGGAGGGAGGAATTCAAAAATCCTAAATCATAAGGGAGACAAACCCAAAGTTTAGGAGAGGGAAGATGCAGAGGGCACTCTAAACATAAGGTGGACACTGAGATCATTGCAGGCTATTTCCTCCCATTCCACAGACTGACAATAACCTGGAGACAGCTGAGCTATGAAAGAGAGAGGCAAAGGACTGAAACGAAATGTGTGTGTGTGGACTGGAGTTTGTAGCCATGATGATTTTATATCTTATGATTTTATATCTTATTCAATCTATTTGATAATTCAAAGTCTCAAAGTTGAAAGGTCCTTCATTTTAAAGTAATTTTATACTCATTTTAACCAGCTGCTGTCAAGAGGAAGCCATGCAAGGCCCAGTTAATGTCAGACCAGTGTTCTGAAACTGAGGGCCTTGAATCCAGTTTCCAGCTGGTTTCAGAAAATGCAGAATTTCCTGAGAGGTGCAGAGCTGAAGCCCGACACTGCTGAGGTGCAGACAGAGAAAAACAGGAGACAGGAGAGTGCAGCTGGCCTGGTAACTGCACTGCATATGCAGCACATGTACAGAGCACCTCTCCATCACCCTTCTCTCAGATCTGCTCCCAAATGCTTTAAACAGTGCCCCTCCTGGGACACACCAGTAGAACATAAAGCATGAATTTAACACTTCACAGCATGAATTTAACATTTAGGTCAGATTTTTTTGGCATTTTTTGGCATTTGTTTCTTCTTTGAATAACCATCTCCTAGAACTTTTTCTTACAATCCAAGGCAAGTTTGGTACCCCGTTGCAGTCCCAGCAGAACTTGCTTTCATAGCACAGTTTTACCAGGATGCTGAATACAGCCTCTTAGCTGGTCAAGCTGGAGCCATGCTTCCAAGAAGGGGAGCCTGCAGCATGCATGCAGCGTGCAGTGATGCATCAGACTTGTGTCCCTGGGTGAAATGCCTTAGAAATTTTGAGTTGGTTTGATTCCATGTGTGGTTTTGAAACTCATTCCAGAAAATACCCAGCCAACCTCTTGTTTGCTTCAAGCATGAACTGGGTGGAATTTGATACTCCTCTTTCCTTGCTCACTCAAAGCCAATAAAATCTAAACTGAAACTTCAGGGTATGAGACCCCTGACAATGACCTGAATTAACATGCAATGAGCAGTCAAGTGAGCAGTCAGGCTGTGTTAAATTTTAACACTCTTACTTTTGGGTGTCTGAAAGGTACAAACTGTGCTTCCTCACCCTCTGATTCAGGGAATATGTATAGAATACCTTGGATGTTCCACTGTCTTACAGTCCCAGCCATGCAAATAACACTGTGACAGCTCTTACTGGGAATATTCATGCTTGAGTCAGAAGGTCTGCTCATGGTAACAACCACTTGTAAGATGAAGCCTTACAGAGAGTGCAGAGGAAGAAGTGCAGGTGTTGGTAACACACCTCTTCTTCTTTTCAGCCCATACATGTGGTGATGTTGAACAGCACCACCCTCCTTAATTGGCCAATTTTGCTAAAGTTCCATCTATAAATAGTTTAGAAAGAATTAACAGATATTGAAGCATGCTGCAAACATGAGAAGTAAATGTTACCGGTGCTAATTAGCTTTCTCAATGTGTACCCTCTCATGAAGTTTTTACTGTAGTCTGTAATGATCTATTACAATGGTTTTATTAAATAATTTATTAATGTAATATTCTCCTTCTCTTAAGTATTTATAAATGGAACTTTAATTTGAAGCATGATTGCACTCTTAGCTGCACCTATACTGCCTTTATTGAAAATACAAAGCTTTGAAGGTATATCTGTCTCTAGGGCCATCTGTTCACCTCTTAAGAAAACATATTCTAAAAAGAGAGGGAATACCCAGCATTTTTTTAATAACACAGATGGGATTCAGTTTCATTTAAAAAAAAAAAAAAGAAAAAGAAAAAGAAGAAAACTGGATAAATTAGGATCCAAATTAACTGGAAAATACCAAACTGATACAAAAGTGCTAAACAGAGAACGGGTTTCTTTCTCAGAAGGTGTCTGGTATCTGCACAGTGTCTGAGGATAGTTTTCTGTGCCCACAGACATTGAAATAGAGGGACAAATAAGAGAACAAAAAAAGAACCCAAAAGTAAATTATATGGAGTGTGACTCCAACATAAAAGCACACAAACACACACAAAAGCACCAAAAATGCTTCTTCCCACATCTCTCTCTCTCTCTCCCTGCTGTAAAACCTCAGTCACTGAAGCGTATCAACCCGTGTTGTGTTTGGAAATTGCAAATGAAAAGTTCCTCTACAAAGTTACAACAGGTCCCACAAGAGGAATAATCCAAAACTAGAGCTTACCCCAATGGATCAGCACTCGCCATCCTCGGAAAGGGAAAATAAAGAGAGAGGGAGAGAGAGAAAGAAGGAGAGAGGGGTGTGGAGGCAGGTGGAGAGAAGAGTAGGAAAAGCAGAGTGAAATACTGTTCGGAGAACTGAACGGTCATAATCATTGCCACCGGTGCCTAAGTCTTTCCAGAGACCAGGAACACTAGGGGGACAGTTTAATTGACCAGAAAACAGCTTTTGTCCCACTCACATATTGCAGACACATCCAACTTTGGCACTGGGGAATATGGAGAGGCACATACTAAGGCTGCAAAAAAAAAAAAAATTCCCAGCCAAATCCCAATTAAAGCCGTCAGCAGAGCAATGGGGTTCATACCTCATGCTGCATTTCTTCTCTGCCTCTTACATAAGGCACAGTTATATCACACTGTTATCCAGGAAATTGTTCTTTTTGTCCCCAGTTTGTTCAGTGCAGTGTCCCTCTGTCCCCCAAGCTGGCCTGGTAAGAAGTACTCTTTTTTTGCCACGAATGAACTGTGAAATGTATTGGTTATTAAAGCATGCATTTCTGAGCCAGCTTGGGAGCCCAGGGTACAAGATTGTAGCTCAAGCTGTGAATCTGCTTCGATACTGCCTTATTAGTCATGATGGTCTTACAGTCAGGAATTCAGATCAGCTAGAACATACCAGCTCAGCAACCCAGCACTTATCTCTGTGGATGCCATCTTGTGCTCCAGGATCTCATTTTTCATTTAAAATAAATTCAGTCTCTGCGTCTTGTAGGTTGCAAAGGAAATCTTTCAAATGTGAATGGAGAATAAATCAATGCTGTGCTGAAAAGAGTCTGAAAAAGCAGTTCTAAAAGCAGACTGAATCTCTGGCATGTTGACTCTGAAGGCTAGTGACAATTGAAGACATCAGTATTCTTAATTTTTATCTACTAACCAAGGCATTCAAAATGGAAATAGAATAGTCAGGTTATTAAGTTTTCAGGGGTGCAGGTGAGCAAACTCAGGAAAATGTCACCACATTTTCACATTAACAAAGATTAGATTAGAAATAAAAAAACGGTTTGGTGTTATTAAGCCAAATTATTTTCAAGTTGGATGCAACACTTTTTTTCCTCTCTGTCACTTTCTCTCTCTCATTCTCTCCATTTTCAATAAGAGGCTCCCAAGCTGCCAGAGCTGCCTCTGGCTGGGTGAGGAAAATCCATTCGCCACAAGACAGAAATGCCAAATTTAATATATGCCCAGTAGATTTCACAGTTTACTGCTCAGTGCAACTAACCATGCCTCCAGTTACATCAACATTGCAAGTGCTGGGCTGAGCCACCAAGGCAGTTTTGAGAACAGTTAAAATGAAAACGCAGTCAGAATAGGACAAAAAAGCTGTTGTGCTATGCATTGATAGAGAAGTGGAAAGAAGCATTACAGTAAGTTCTTTTTCATGTGTTTGAGTGACACTCCATTTATATTTCAGCCTGTGGAGTGCAAATTTGGGTAAGATCTAATTAATATATATATACACAAATATATGTATATATTTAGGAACAAATGCTGTCCTCAATTGTACCTGTACCAATCTATCTACGGTGATGTAACTGAGAAGAGCAAATTGACACCCATTGTATATACTGGAACCTGTGTGTATATTTATACAGAAAATACACCCATATTCACACATGCAGAATAGTCAAATGTAAATAGAATGGGTGCAAGAAGGTTCAATAATGTTTCTTTCAAGTCATTTTCCCAACAGGGAAGGCACTGAAGAGGTTAACAAAGAGAATGGAAAGCAAATTGACAATAGGGTAAAGGAAAGGGGAAATGAGGTTTAAAAAAAAATGAACAATCCCAGGACACAATAGACCCAGAAGCGCAGACATGTGCATTCCCTATAATACTGAAGCAAGTGAACTACGGAGCTGCAGCAACCCAGATACAGAAGAAGAGAAGCACTGAAAGAGGGGGTGAAAGAAAGTCAGAAAGAAAAAGAAAAAGAAAGGGACAGTGGCCTCGTCTACTAAGACAACCATGTGCATCTAGAGGGAAGGGACCCTTAAAGATGCAGTATTCCTTTAAAAAAGGTATCATAAAATTGGACAATTAAACACTGAACAAAATTTTAATGGCCATCCTGATTTATGTGACCCTGTTTTGCTGGGGTCCTCTTTGCTGCCTATCCCTTCCTTTCACGTGGTTGTGCATAGATTTAGAATCCAGGTTCTATCACATTCCCACCACTGAGGTCCTTCATTTGAACTCTTAGAAGTGGGAAGGAGGTAAGGTCACAGTGAATGTGGTCCTCAGAAATTCAGCCTGGTCCTTGAATGAGAAGAACTGTGGGTGATCCTCATGCAGTGCTCTAACCTTCTCCTCCTGTTTTCTGAAAAACACCACCTTTGAGAGGGAACACAAAATGCCTATGTGGATTTAAGAAATTCACACAGAAGATACAGAAGTGTCATTTCTTCTGCTCCTAACACAGTTGTAGCAGCTGCCAGAGAAGGACAGAGGGACAAGGAATGGTGCTCAGAACATCTGCTCAAAAACTCCTCTCCTGTCACAGATAAAATCTCTGCACCTCTTTTACTGGATTCCTAATTACTATGAAAAAGATCTTCTTTGGAGTAACCTTAAACTAACTTTTAATGCAAGAAGTGCCACATGTTCAAGAGCAGAACTTACATAGAGGGAGTATCAGAGAAAGGAACAGGAGTTTCCATGTCTATGCGAACAGTCCAGGAAAGCCCAGCCACTAAAGGCTGTATAACCACTACTTCTTCATGGCTGTGGAACTACAAGGTTGCCAGCAGTTCAGGTCCAATCCAATGCTTGTTGGTATTTGGCATCTTAGAGAGGGTGCTTTACACACCACATGAGGCACAGTCTCTCCTGCAGATGCATGATGTTCCTCACTGTGGCAGGCTAAGGACTTGAAACACTGACCACAGAAGACTGTCTCAGACTGCAAAAAGACCAAAACAGTCCCTCACACATCCTGTAAATCTCCTGAGGCTTAAAGGCCACCTTTATGTGTATACAGAAATATTTCTATGAAAAGGGGAAATGGAAATAAGAATGGTTTGTGAAGTCCATTGGTTCCTTTAAGGAAGCCGTTGCTTCTCCCTTTTTGAATCATATGCCACACTTGTAACCTTTGGTAAGCTTAGTGTTTGTCCAAAATTTGTAAGGATTACATTTTGATGAAAAGTTATCCTTTGGGATGCCAGTTTTCAACACAGAGAAAAATTCTCTTCCTTTGAGACCAAAATTTTAGAAACAACATGTACACTAAAAACCTTTGCAAAAGTATGAACTTTTTTTTTGTGTTCATGGACCCACATAAGTCCACTTAAAGCCTGTAAATGTGGTGGCCTACCTGTCTTCCATTGTGCCTCTGCTGACAGCTGGGAGTTACTCTTTCTGTTGTTCTTCAGCATCTGTCACTTGAACTGCTAGATTAGAATCATCCTCCAAAAACCCTGTCTTCAATCATGTTTTCCTCCTGTGTCCTCTAGGTAGTCTTAAAGAGTTTGTCTCTTACCAGAAGTCCTTAATGTTTTGTCTATCAGAGTGAATTTACGAAGTTTCCTACCACCGTTGTCACTCACTCAGTTGTGCTGCTGTTTCTAATGCTCAGAGTGGAACATTCTGGGCTTTCCCAGTGTTTTATCCTTCCCAAAGAAGTCTTAAGCAAATACATCTTCTACCCTGGGCAGAACTTCTACTTGTGGCAGAACTGAACCAGAAATAGCAGTAGGATGAAATTTTAGTGGGGAAATCATTGGTACAGTCCAAGGCTGCATTGGGGATAGCCTCAAATGAATGGTACTGTACAAAAACATACATAGTGTGGAGCTGTAAATATCCCACCCTCTTTGCTTCTCTCTAAAGAGGAAAGAGAGAACAGCTCTGTCCCCACACAGAGAAGGTAAGTACTGCATCTTTAAGGTCTCAGCAGTGAGGTAGAGGAGAGGAACATATTGTCAGTGTTTATACCTTTCTTCTTTGTTGAATTTGGGATTGGCTTCAGAGATATCCAGGCTTTTACTGAACATTGTTTTACTATGGCAGGAACAAAGCGAGAAAACACAGTTACTAGTGTGGACATTTTTATAAAAGAGAGTCACCTGTAGCAATGCTGGACACCCAGTCCCCCAACCCATCCTCCCCTTTTTAAGCAATGCTCTGAAAAACCTTTCTTTTACTTTACAATCATGGCTCACACCTACACAGTGCTCAAGTTCATTATCTTCCCCTGACTTCTGAGGTCTAAGATGACTTCCCCCATGCATACCTGTAAACCCTGCTCTCCTTTATTCAATTTAAAACCCAGGTACTACCTACTTTGTCACAGTGTCCAGGGAAAACAGAACACACCTGAAGCATTAATTGCAAAGCATTCATTACTCACGACTTTTCCAGAGGACCTCAACACTAAGCATGCTCTCAGAAAAAGTTAAAATCAGACCACAGAGCCTCTTAGAGGAACAGTAATCCATTTTGTATTCTAATTTGTAGGGTCCATTACCATTTAACTCCCAACCCTCTTCCCTATACTCAGTGTATAGAGAAATGCCCTTCTTTCTCATCTTGGGTCTCAATCCCTGCAGCTCAGAAGTGCAATTCCCTGTGTTTTGCTAAAAGGGCAGCTCTCTGTAATATATTTCACTGGTGATATGCTTCACTGTTTCACAGAACACTGCTTCCTAATGTTAGCTGATCTCTCATGCAAGCTTTCCACTTCAAAAACTAGAAGAAAATGAATAGTTAATGAAGCCCATTTTAGAATGGTTTTTGGACTCTCACAGCAAAGCTGCTGAAAATTTCTGCCATATCCCTGCTGGATTCTAGCTCCCATGGAATTCTTCCTAGTCTGTGTGATTGTAGCACAAGGGACAAATTAGCTAATGTTAAACTAAGCTCAGAACCTACTTCTTTTCTTTTGACATTTCAATGACATATCAGATAGTCTGAGAGGTGGGGATACCAGAACAGCAGAAGTAATTAAGATATAATTATGAACCCAGTTTAGTGGGTTTAGCAAGGAAGCCCAAGAATTACCAAAACTTAGTCACCAGTTTTAGAAGGTCTAGAGTTTGTGCAAACCAACTTTGCCATTCACAAAGATCCATTGAAGAACACCTGGAGAGGTCGCCTCAAGCATGTCAAGGAGCCTGTAAGCTCCACAAGCAGCTTTTGTGCGAGTTTTCCTTGTCCATTATTCAAAACCAAGTCACTGAAGGATTATGTTTTTCACTTAATACTGTCTCAGCCTGGAGGCTGGAGGCTGCCAAGTTTTAAATTTCAGTGGAAAGATATGCCCTAAACAAGCCAAGACCAGGCACTTGTAGGGCCCCCACATGGTTACCAAAAGCACAGATCATGATACAGACATGTAAACCCGAGGTTGTAACATAAATTCTCTTTATGCAAGCAAACATCTGTTTACTACTGGGAAAGAGGACAGTAGGAATAAATCAAGACACTTGGGTGTGTTTTGCCCACTGGTTAGAAGTGTGTCTTTGCCAGCTCAAGGAAGAAGCAATGGCACTGTGTCTCCAGATGTTTACACAAGTCATCTGTGTCTAAACAGGAGACCTGATTCCATGGTCAATCTTCTTAGTATTGTAGGATAAAAAGCACTGAACAGCTGTATCTTGAGATCAAAAAAAAAAAGTAATTCTTAAAAAAAGCATACGCCTTGGAGATCTATACCCTACTGCTGCAAAATCCACTGTCAGTGGGTCATTTCATGGAATATAACATGCAACTAGCCATTAAAAATCCGCACTCTTGGTGGAAGGCACTTGCCACTTTGTTACTGAGGGTTCTGACAGATGGTGCCCCATCAGCAATGCATTGTCCCCAGACACTCTCCATGCAGTGGGGTTCGTTAATGAAGCCAGTTCGTGTTATAAACGACTGTGCTGCCAGCAACACGAAATGTGCCGCTGTCATCTCTGCATGTGCATGGGATGAATTATGGAAGCTCACACGTGGAGTAAAATAACATCTTCCCTTTAACCCCTTCGAAAACAAGCACTACCATGCCCATCATCATCAATCATGGTGTTATTACATCCCTTTCTCCACCCTTAATCACACTTTTATGTCCATTCCTGACCTGTCATATGCATTGCCCCATATCTCTTTTGTGCCTGCAGGTTTTGCTTCCTCCTTAAGCCACAGCCCTTCTTCACTGATATTCAGCCTGGATGTATCTCATCCCAGACCTTTTGACTTCAACTGTTTCCTCGTGTGCAGAATCCAGTGAGGCATTTAAAGGCAAAAGAAATACTATGGATAGCAAGACACAGCTTTGCCTCTGCAGACTTCTGAACCCAAATTCAAAGTTCAGAGCTGGAAGAAAAGGTTTCAGCTCTCAGAGAATGCTGTGGTCAATTTAACGCCTCCTCATTGTTCCATTCAGTTGGACACTCCCTGTGAAGGAGCTTTGTGGTGGGGAGAAGTGATTTGCCTCTGCCTGGGTCTGGAAGCTTCATGTCCCATGCATCTCCCAGCAGCAGAGTAAACACTGCAGGTGGAACAAGAAGTCACATCTTTACTCCTTTGAGGCCTGTTAGGAACACTGAGCACACCCTGTCCTTAACACTTCCTTCACCCACAACTCACATCAAATCACGCATTTGAGACAGGTTTCCAACCTACAATATGTCAAGAAGTCTTTATGGCAGTCTCAAGGTCACATATCCAGTCTGAAATAAGTCCTAGCAGATTCCAGAAATCACCACTCTTTCTTCACTACAGATAGAACTGTAACAATTGCCAGGAGAAGTTTCCAGCAATTCTAGGGGCCTCTGGAATATCTATGAAATTATTTTATGTTCTTCTCCCAGTTCTCAGTCAGCAAAGGGAGCTTCTGGGCACAGCAGGCTTTTTTTGTTTTTTTTACAGATCTTAAGAGCTGAAGAAATAAAAAATGTTGTCAAAACTGAAACAGAAGGCACAGCAGCATCATTACCATCATCATTCATATATGGGAAGCGTTCTTTTATATTGATTGATTAATGCAAGTGTGAAACCAAATGCATGTGCTTCCCTTAAGTTAGTCATAGGGACCAGTCCCTATTCACTTATGGTTCACATAAGTGAATTTCCACAGTTCACTTACTCTCCCAGAACTTGCCTTGAGGAGGACACAATTTTCCTCTGCTGTTTCTCCACAAGACTGACACTTTCTTTGATAGAAAAGAGGAAAATTATACATATTCCATCACTTTATAAGCAAGTGGTGATTTATGTGCCATTTCAGATGCATTCTGGCTCTGACGGCACATTTTGGAGGCATCTACAAGATGCCTGGACAGGGCTTTTCAGATTCAATTGTTTTGATGACATGGAGCATGGTGTTCATTTAACTTCAGGTGCCCAAAAACTAGGAACCTAATCCCAGATAATCACCTAGATTACTGTTGTAGGCTCTGGAGACAGAGAAGAACAAGCAGAAGGTAATTTATCCTGTTTGACAGGACACATGTCTGAGATCTCCCAAAGCTTTTACGTGTTCCCATTGCCCAGTCAGCCTGTATTGCAAGCTTAGACTGCATGCCCATGTCCTCAACATTAAAAAGAGGTGAAATGGGTCTTGCCCATTTCAGAGGACATGGTGGCTTCCTGAGGAATAGCTGCAAGCAAACAGAACCCTTAAGGCCCTGGCAGGACTTCTGGTCCTGTGTGCACAAGCACTGCTGGCTGCCAGATCATGTTGCAGACTTGACTGGAAGGTGTAATGAGTGCTGGTGTGAACAGAAAAGCCCCACAGCTCCTCTGTGTAACACAAAGTGGGGGAGCAGAGCCAGGCAGGCAGGGCTCCTGGGTGAAGCACAGACCCACCTCTGTCCATGCTGTGCCATTTCAATAGCTCTACGAGCAGGAACTGGGGATCCTCCATCTGTCACGCTGAGAACCTCCATGGACTTCCTCTCCGGCCGCCGCTTCCCGTGCCTGTTCAGCATTGGGGAGTCCACACGCTTCCTGGGGGGATCTGACAGGAAGGAAAACGCTGTCAGCTCAATCCAGCTGGGACTTACCTCACGCAGGTGGGTTAAATCCTCTCTCAACAATTTCACTCTCACACCTCCCCTACAAAGACAGATCTCCTCATGATGGAGGGGTGGACATTTGTAGTCTCTCCCTTGTTCCAAATTTGCAAGCATTAAGATGTAGCTTGCAATCCACCTGCAGAGAGAAGGAGCCCTGCCACTGCCCTGAAGGTATTATGAGCACTGCAAAATAGAGGTAGAACTATACCACAGCTTGCAGAAATTAGCTTACAAAGCTGATAACAGTAATAACAGGATGATACAAGGTGACAGCATGGGCTATAGCACAAGCTGTTAGGCAGAGCATGAGCCATCTAGGGATCCTGTGTATGTACCCAGGTTACTAGAGCTTGCCTTCCACATCCCTGCCAGCCAGATTAAATGTGACACAGGGACAGGAGTACACTCTAAATTCAGAATTACATTCTGCTCTGAAAGAATACCCTTTTTGTTGCATCTTTAAGATTAGATTTCAGGTTTTTCCTGCTGATTTATATTTTTCCTCCTTCAGAAGCATTACAAATTAAACATGCTTGTCTACCTGAGACAAATCTTTCAATGCGAACCATGCCATACAGCTTTTACTACCATAGTAAATGAAATGCTATACACACTTTATTGTGTAACAATTCTATGAGGTATCAAAGTGCTACTTTAGCTTTGCAGAGTGAAAATTGAGGTATAAGAAATATTTAAAGATATATTAAAATATATAAAGATATATAAGAGATATTTAAAGGCAATTCATTCCTAAAGATGTTGGTTCTGAGAAGCCTTTAAATTGTTCTGAGAAGAGTCTTTAGATACCAAAATGCATCGCAGAAGGTGACTTGCCAAATCATCCACACCTTCCTGGTGAGGCAGAGACCCAAATACAGACCTGCTGAGACATTTTATAGCTAACACTGGACATGGCATGGAAACAGTATAAAGGAGAAAGACAGAAAAAAATACAGAAGGATTTTATTTCCTTTGGTTGGGCTATTTCAGTTCCCTGACTCTATTTATAGACAGGTTTTAAATTTTAGTGGGGAGTGGCCACTTGTAAAAGAAGGCATCCTTCATCCCTGCTGTTAGAACGAAACTCACAGTGCCCAGTTCTTAAGGCTTCTTCTTCTGCCAGGATCCCTGTGCAAAACCAGAAATACCACACTTGACAATCATACCTCTACTGCCTGCTCTTTATTATCCTGCCCTCTTCACACCTACCATGTACTCGTTCCTTCTCTAACATCATGTTTTTTAGAACAAGATCTCTTTGAGGCAGAGCTTATCCTTGAAACAATGAGCATAAGCTAATGCAAGTGGATTAGTGATAACAACTGACCCCATTACAGTATAACCCAAGTATTCTTTGTGTTAGCAGTAATAATATTCCGCTTAAAAATTAATTAGATAAAAAGCGCAATTGTATCTCACTCCATTTCAAACTCTATCCAGCAATAAAAAAATAGTAGAAAATGGTATAGGCAATCACCTCCAGATAAGAAAAAAAAAAAGAGTGCATAAAGCTGACAGAAAAACAAAGGAGATAAACCAAATAAAGCATTCATACTGTGTGACTTCAGCTGCATACATGTAAGTGGTCAAAAGTAAGCTGGGACAAGGTTTAGATATTTCAAACTCCTGCTTCTTCAAGCAAGTTCAAAATATGAGAAAGAATTCATGCTACAGAACAACTGGTGGTTTAGGAGCGTATCTACAGCATAGTAAGACAACAATGATGTTCAGAGTGTATATATAACACAAAACAGATACAAGTTTTGTAGCAGAATATCAGACATAAAAAAATGAAAGTAAAACAGTGCAGTTTAAAAGAAAGGAAGAAGGAAGATGAAGAAAGCATCAAATGTCAAAAGAATGGTGATGAATAAGCTCAAACAAGAGAAGTTAATAAAGAGAAAAAGACAAGAAAAATATTTTATGAACAGATCTTTTAAAAGTCAATTTGATCCATGAATGTTCAAAACAGAAATGGAAACTCAGTCAAGTGACATTTACAAAAGTGACATGCCATTTTCTTAAGAGCTGGACTTTAAAAGACAGCAAAGAAGAAATCTGGAGAAGAATTAGCTAAAAACTTGAATGACAGTCTTTTGTACAGCCATCAGGAAGAGAAAACCTGAGAGAAGGACATTAGCCAGAGGGGCCATGAGGGAATCAACAGAAAATTGAGGAGGAGAAGGATATCGCTAACAAGCAAAATGATTCTTTTGCATCAGCCCTTGCTGCTTAAGATGCTGAAAGAAATTGATTTCTAATCTATATTTTAAGTTATCAAAGACAGACAATAAGCAAAAAGAGCAGGTGGTGAAATGCACCTATAAATTCAGGAACAGCAATTCACAAAGGTTGGATGGAAAATACATCCAAAGCTTGCATTAATGTGGTTGAGCTTCTAATAAAGCTATTTGATGCCTATTTAAAATCGGCTACAATCCTACAGTATACATGGCTGAGAGTAGCAAGTATTGTACATACTTTTTAGAAAGGTCTGATTAAGAAATGACAGGGCACCATCACTGTCAAGTCTAAAGGTACTAAAGAATTAGTTATATACGTACTCTTCCTGCCAACATGACTAAAGTGGTGTCATACAAAAGCTGTAGAAGATTTTGCACAAGCCCAGGAATTAAAAACAGGAAAATCTCCATTATTTGCCCTTCTTTTCTTTAACTCTCTGGACAAGGTGAAAAAAATCAAGTCATAGTCCAGTAACAGTATAAGGATGCATTTTCCTTTTATTTAATATCAGAGAAGCATAGCTCTTCCTAAGGATTTTTACATATGAAGATAGAATCATATAGGTAATGATCCAATTATAAATCTGCCTTCTCACAGAAGGTGGGAAATAAAGGTTCACCTTCTGAGTTTGGATGAGGCATCTCTATCTTCTATATCTATTATGGCCCAATCTTTTGTTATTAAGAAATTTCATCCCACAAAATCCTTTTTCTCAAGGAGACATTAGTTGACATTAATTTCTTATACTGAGAAGTTTCTCATTCCTATGTTTTCAAGTAAAGAAAATGGAGCTGCATGTGAAAAATGTTGGAAGTGGCCCTTCCTTGGCTCTTGGAAGAAACTTCATACAGCTGAAACAGACAAACGGACACCAGAAGAAAGAGCAACCTGTAGCTGGCCATATTTTTACCTGCATCAATCCTTTCTGAGACTTAATACACCAAAAAAGAGGAAAAAGCAAAATACTCTGAGTTGCCTTTTTTTTTTTTTGGCAAGAGCTCAGACAATGCACAACTCTCATGATCATGGTATCTTCAAGCTGCTATTATTAAAGTGTTACTTGTTCTCTGCTTTTCTTTGTTTGTGCAAGGCCATTGCTAATGGATAATGATGAGATATTCATCAGACACGACTGCTCCTAATTAAACCTTGCCCCATGTTCTCAGAGATACTGCTGGGGACAGAGGACGTGGAAACCCCCTGTGGAAGAGGAAATACAAACACTCAAAGAATAATGCTCAAAATACAGGTGAGACACATAGATACAGTCAGTGTTTTCCTGTTAGGAAACATTTTCACCCCTTGCACAAAAGTTATAAGAGTGGACCATAATATTCCAGTTCAAACCATGAAAATACTTTGGCATGTGGAAGAGGTATGAGATGCATTTAAGGTATAGCTACATATTCACTTTCATGCTGGGTTTAAAGATTCTAGAGTCACCTTGTTTCTTTTCGTATGACAAAAGCATTTCTAAAACAAGTTGATGCTGTCCTTACATGGCAGGATAATCTGTTTGAGTCAAAAGCTGATTAGCAGAGTGCTAGATGACAAACTGCACCGAGCAAGGGGCTTTTGACCACAGGACCTGCAGCTGGCACAGCTACCCATCTTCATCAGGATCCCTGCTAACATGCTCTCTCTGTAGCTCCATCCAGGTAGGAGTTTAAAAATTGCTGTGTTAACTAAGAACTTTCATCTCTTCTCCCGTAGAAGAGGTTTCTCTGCAAAATTATAGGGCCTGGAGGCTGGAACTTGGATAGGTTAATAATTCAATGAAGCATTAACAAATGCAGTGCAGCACAGCACTGCCCTGAAAGCTTGTGAGATTCCAGGCTTTCCAGTGAAAATAAAGGGCACTTTGCTTCTAGTCTTCAAAGTGCTTAAGTACAATACCTGAAAATCTCCACAGTTCTATGCAAAATTCTGTTTCAGATTATTGCTAGAAGTGACTAATCCTTTATTAAACTTGTCTGCACATCAAGAGTCACTTATATAGTTAGCTCCTTGGGGAGCAGCTTTCCTGTTGTCTGGATTAGTGGTGATCAGCAGCACCCTAAAAAAACCAATGAATATACAAGAATTAAGTGGCATCACAAGAGCTTTGTAAGATAGATAATCTTATTGTGCATTAAGCTTTTAAGATCTAAGTCTAAAAACATGGGAGTTTGATTTATGTACTATAAAACAGTTAAGTTATATGATTCATACTTTCAGGAGTGCATGTATTGAGTTACAGAGAAGAGAATATGCACATATATAACTGCAGAGGGATGCAGCTACACAGCTTCTTACTAACTGAAGTCCATGAGCAGCCTTTCTGCAACACTGCAAGGAGACTTGTAATTAGAAAATTCTGCCACTAGATTATATTGCCAAACCTCATCTGCCTGCATAGAGTCAGCCTGTGGGTTCACAGCTCATTTTTTAAGATCCCATTCAAGATCTACTTGGATGTTTCTGAACTGTGAGACAGGCAAGTCTTGAAAGATGAAGCCTTCTAGTTTAACCACAGAACAGACCTGCCTGCCCCAGGCTGAGGATTCTCACCAGTGCTGTGTACACCATTTCACTGGGAAGACAACAGCAATGCTAGGGTTGGGTTTAAATTAAAATAAAATCAGAATTAAAGAAAAAAAAAAAGTGAAGAGGAACTAGTTCAGATGGGTTCATGGTGACTGAGGTCGTATCTGCAGTACCTATTTCATTTCTAGGGGGAAGATCCTCATCTTCATGACTAGGATACCTCTCCTTCCGGTCAAGCAGAAGAAAATAAATCATTTTTTCTTGGTTTTCTCTGAAAAAAAAGAAAAAAAACCATTTATATTTGAAAAGAAAAAAGGTCAACATGTACATGAAACTTTCTCATCAAATAAACAGTCACAGTTATTCTAAATGAGTTGGAAGTGGTCATGTACATGGCAGCTAGATACACAACCCACAAAGCTTTTGAGACCCTTGCTGTCTCCAACAAACAGCTAGTGAGGAAAGGAAATAAGATTCCCAAACTCCACACACAGAACAGAGGCACAGACAGTCAAGATTATGTGTCCCCAGGAAGTCCAAGCCAAGAGTGGCAGCCATGCAGGCCTCCTGAGTCTCTAATGCTCTTTCTACCACCTGTCCCTCTTAACATCTCAGGAGATACACCAGCTCTTAGGCATAAGTTTAAAATAAATAAAAAATTGGCAACAAAGGCAGATCCAGCACAAACATCAGCAATGAAACCTCCCCATGTAGACTGTGCAGCCCATGTTTTAATGAAGTGACCTGGCCTGGCAGCTAGGGCAGAAATAGCACAGTGGCTCCGTTGCTGGTCAGGCTTCTGACCCGTGGAGCAAGAAAGGCTCAGTGCTTGCCCCCAGCACCTCACCAGCAAATGAGCAGCCAGAGGGGGCTTATTTTTACCAGTCATCCAGAAGTTTTTACCAGTCATTCAGAGAGAGACATCAGTTAAAGTGCTCTCTGCCTCTCCCCAGGTTCATAAGCATCCCAGCCCCTGGACACCCAACTGATATGAAGACTGAGCAAGTGCTTACTCTTCCGACAACAAGTCCTGTAAGAGTTTATTTCGGTCACGGAAGCAGCCTAACGAGTGCATGCTATCTAACACGTCTGGATCAATATCCTCCAAGGAAGGCAGAGAACGAATCTGCACCTTTCGAGGGATTGGTTGCTCTGGTTCTGGCTCATTCTTACCCCCTCTGCAGAGGAAAGAAGATGAGAGAGAGAAAGGGGGAGGGAAAGGAGAGAAAAGAAACATGAGTCACAAATGAACCCATACTCTGAAACACAGCCTGCAGCAACAGATGGAAACAGCTTGCTAAATTCCCACTGAGAGACCAGAGCTTCCAACCAGACAGATATTATTCTCATAAGAAACTGTCATGAAGGCTAAGACTGACCAGCAGGTTGTGGATTTGGGTCTTTAATGAGAAATGTCTGTGTTCAGTCAGCAAGGCAACAGGAACTTCACTTACCAGTGCCCTTGTAATAGAAGCAGCTGTTCAGCATCCTAATGCCAAACATTTATAAAACACTACATGTTTGTAGAGATGTTGTCTCATCAGCTGGCCAGACCTCAGACTATGAGGCTGAAAAGTGCAAGCTGAATGATTCCCTTTTGGAGACGAAGCTCTGAACAAACCATCACTCTTTTTCACCAATTCTGATTACACCCAGCACTGCAGCAGTTTCTTTCGTTAACACTTCCAATGTGATTAAGAGACCTCAGTGCTCAGGCTCCCACTCGACACACTTTAAAGGGTTTTGGGGGAAAACCATGCTGCTTAATTACACACCCAAACATGACAATCTCTGCTTCTCTTAAGACATGCAAATTGGAAAATTTTGGCTCAAGTGCAATGCCCGAGGTCAGCTGCAGACCTCGGAACACACCATTAGCAGCAGAACATATTACTCTTTCAAATGTAGTTAACACAGACTTTCTGCACAATTATCTCATCCCATTCACTAGGCTCAGGAAATATTGATTATTCATTGCAATTAAAGGCCATGACTGCAAGAAACAGGTCAAGGTGTCAGAGTGTATCTAACTGACTAATGATATGTATTGCAGACATCCTGAATATCCCTTTGATTTTATTTTGGAAGGCAGTGAGCAATTAATGTAAACTCTATCCACTCAAAGAGGTGGGTTTGGTGGTGGTGTCGGTGTTTCTGTCAGAGAAATTATCTGCTCTGAACCTCTGCTATTTCTCAATGGCTCCTTCATGTGATGTTGAAGTTTCCCTGATCCATCAGTGGGGTCCTCCCTTTCCTTTATGTGGTGCAAATGTGTGACTGTTGGGTCCAGGCTCCCAACATGGGCAGCAGGAATCAGGAATATTTCAACTGTATCAGATGTCACCATTTGCTGCTTATGGGACTGTGTTTGGACTAGAGATCCTTCCTTTTGATGCTGGAATAAATAAGGCAGATACAACTTATGAAGTTACTCTCACAGTTTAAAATGTTCCTGACTCAGTGTAAGCTATCCAAGTATCTACACAGAAAATGGAGTTCCAATCCAAATGTCCTTAGTTTTTCTTGTGTAACTTCGAAATCAGCTCTGGTAGGTTCATATACATGAGCCCAAGGTCTCAGCCAGTGTACCAAAGAGAGAGACCATACACCTTAAAAAGAGCCAATGCAGATTATCTCCTCCAAGGTAAGAAGGCAATGCTAAGTCAATGTATCCAGAACAGGACAGTCGCATGCTGGGACAATCACAGGAGATTGCTGAGTGCTACTTGCAATTTATTTTTAAGCAAGTTGAAATGCAGTTGTGAGGCATCTGCTCTGTTTGTGGGACATCACTTGCAAAAAGACTCCTCACAAATGTTCATTTTATCTTCTTCTGAAGCAGTGAAAATGTGCTCAGTCCTACCTGGATGTCATGGAGTCAGACATTCATGGAGTCAGTGTTCATTACATGGGTCATGACAACATGGGTCAGATCCCACTTCTCTTACAAGGAGCACTAATACACACCCTGTCCAGTTTTACTCAATTTGGGGCACTGTAAGTAAACAGAGGACACAGAATCTGATCCTTGATAGTTGTTCTTGTGTGTCAAACAACTAAAACACAGCTTCTGATGCCCCCTTTGAGTCTCACAGAAGCATCTGTATCTTCTGCAATGTCACCATGGTCCTGAATCTAAGAGCTAAACTCAAAAATCCTTGTTCAACTAAAGAAACATCTTATTCCTTCTAAGAGTTCACTACTGCTACCTCTTAGAATCAAGAACTAGCTCTCAGAAGGTAATAAGCAATGATTAGTTCATAACCTTGCACTATTAAATCTAGTGATGACCTTGTCATTAAGACAAATTCTTGCAGGATAGACCTTTGAACAGCAGCTGAGTGTTTTTGCTTTTTAATGATCTACAGTTCACTTCTGAAAAGTATTGACTTAATTAATCATTCGTGTTACAAGCAGATGTCCTTAAGGTAATTAAAAGAGATTAAAAAGAATTATTGTCTTTGAAAATTTCTAGGAAACCTGGGCTTCCCACTAGCTGCCTTTGTCTGAATAGAATCTACAATTTCCTTTAGTATCAATCAGCACAGGAGCCATTTCTAGAGAGCACAGCTTGCCATCCTCCCTACACTCCAGGGTGGCATTTCCTTATGCCCTGCACCTGGTCAGCCTCAGACACAGTCAGGAAATTTCACACCTCCTCATCAGGTACAAGTAAAATCTGCAAAGAGGTGTCTTGTCATTTGGCAGCGCAATTCAGAGCTTCAGGAAACGAAAATCACCGGTCTGGGCTGTGATTGGCATGACTGCAATGCCTGTTCCATTCTCAGTCTAGCAGAGTGACAAATTTGTTGCATTGCAGCCCACACAGACATCAAACAATGTCACACAGTGACTACTGCAAATCACATATATTTTTTTAAAGGCCCACATGAATGTAATTGCTGCTTTAAAACCCACCCTCTTTTGTGAGGATTGGTGGATACAATGGCTGTGATTCCTGATCAGGGTGGACTTTTTCAGTCTCTCCATGAAATTCTCTCATGAATCTCACCGAGATGCCCATTTGCATCAGCGCAAAGCAAAGCAGAACCAGTACACTTATTCTTTTTCTTGTTTTATTAAGTCGGTACCTTCACAATTAAGGCAATAACTCAGTGTTATAGCAGTGGGTATTTACTATAATAGATAATTTTATTTGCCCTCTAACTTTATTAAAAATATGAAAATAACTGCTGTTTATTTTCTGGTTTATGATATCCTGCTTTTCAGGTAAAAATAAATGATTTCAATTAAAAAAGCTTGAGAAACCTCACTGAATTAATTTGGGTGGGAGAGCAAGAACTGGAGGTTGCTGACAAAAGGTGTCACTTGGGTTTCTTTCTTCCTTTTTTAGGCTTGTGAATCATGATTTCAACTTTCAAGACCTCTTTCTCTGCCTGCCGAAATCTGCAAATGAATATTTTCTCCAGTTTTATAGTAGCCTCAAAATTTATTTGAAGAATTAAGTGAAACCACTTCAATGTTCTGAGTACAACTTTCAGGCCAGTAACCTACAGATGACAAAGGATGAAAATTTTACATAGAATAGTAGATAAAATAAAGAAAAAAAATTAAGAGGTGAGGAAAAGAGCCATAGGATAAAACACTACCACCCCTTCCTCTCTGTCAGCATGAGTATTTCTAGGCAAAATAAATGCAAAGAGGTTGTGAAACATTACCAGATGAAAGCAGTTGACTTTTGGAGGCAGCAAGGTTATTCACTGACTAAAATTAGCCATAGGATGTTAACCTCCTGAGGTCAATCCATGGCCAGTACAGAGAAAATGAGAAAGAGACTCATTAAAAAAGCTATTTTGAGCAGAATCTTCTTTTTAGGCAATCTGAAGAGACATCTGGAAGAGCCTTTCTGCACTGACTACCCTGGGAGTCCAAAGGAGACTTGCTTTTGCAAAACTCAGTTTCTACTTCTGAAAACAGCCTCAGATGCAGTTTACTCTGTCAATCATCAGAGAGTCTGACCTTCATTGAGAACTACATGAAAGTGTTCAAATGTTTATGTCTCCAAAGAAAAAAAAAAAAATCTTCAAATTCTAAATACCGACTAAAGTAACGAAATGACATCTGCACAATTGCATATGTGAGCCTGGGACAACAGTCCCTCAACAAGTGAAAAGATCCAGGCAAAAATCTTGAGGAGGATAAAAATAACAATATAAATGATCAATGACTTTTCCTTTTATTTCCTGTTTGAGTTCTGATAAAAGCCTGGAGAGTGTCAGCTGATTTCACTCCATGAAGAAACAGAGGGAATTATCTGACCAATCTGACGTAAACAGCATTTACTTCTGCAATTGCTAGCAAGACCTTATAGTAGGGATTTCAGAGATTACAATTAGATATTTCCCCACTCCATTTGTTCTACATTTACCCATGAGAGTTAAAGGAAAAAAAAAAAGTATGCGTAGGAAACCTCCAGTACCTTGGTTTAAAATAGTGCCATGTCTGGTAACTGAAGAGAGCATGGAAAAGCCATGGGCAGAGTGCTGCCACTATTTCAGGTAAAGTAAGTTTTTTCTTAGTTCCAATTCTTTTCTTAGCTGTTCAACAAAATGTTGAACCCCCCTCAGGTTTTAATGAAGTCACACAAATCCAGTGGTGAAAAAGGCCCATGAGACAGAATTACAGAAAACAAAACAAATAAAGAAAAAGTGGGGTTTTTTTCATGGTGACAGGCTTATATATCAGTTCACATCATCCGTGAGTACTTCTCAAGAGTAATTACAGGATTATGGAGGTAGGACTTTCCTTATCACCCACCTGGGAAATGCTGACCCTGGGAAATGTATCCAAGCATAATTTCCTTGTTTATTATGTGAAGTATTCTCCTTAATTTGATGAGGATATCATAGTATAAAAATTTTGTTTACTTAAGCTTCTTGAAATACTACTAAGGCTACACAAAGAGCAAGGTCACTTTTAAAAGCCATCAATCTTCCTTACACCCAAACCACCAGACAAGCATGTACTCTTCTCACAGACCTCCTGTTTCACTGTCAGGACTGCTGTTTTTAATCAAGTCACAGAAGTACTCTCACATCAACAGGTTACAAGGTCAGAAACAGTCTCTTAGCTTGCTATGAAAAAGGAGTGGGGATTATGAGACAGAGAAGCTCTTGCTCACAGGTGCTTACTTATCAATATCATCATTTTTGTTTCTACTTCAGAGAAAAGCCAAGATGCCAAGAAGAAAGAAATGAAAGCTTTCTTGTCAAGAAGGTATTACAAGGGATTGTCTGTAGTACTTGGACAGCAAACGAAATATGGTTGCTAGGTGGGTATTTTTTTGCTGATCACCTGCGGGTATCTCTTTAACACAGCAAGTTGCTGGACTGAATGTCTTATTTCAAACAGTTGTTAGTCATTGTACAAAAGAAGTTCCTGGGTTGGTACATATAAATGCAATTATATGAGTAGCAAAGGGTAGAAAAATAAAAAAAGTAGATGTTTTTCTGTTCTCTGCCTCTTTTTCTCATGTATGTGAAACCTGCTTTCAAACTCCAGTCTCACTCTTCTAGTGGTCTCTTCACAGAACACTAGAATACCAGAATCAACAATGAACATATGCAAAAATTTTTTTAAAAAGTTACTTACATATACCATATGTGTTTCTGAATATGTTCTAGCTGTAAAGGAAAAGAAAACAAGGAATTAGTGCTGTAAAATAGAAGAGGTAACTCTACAAGTCATCCTTATTCAAGTAAATCCAAAATTTCAGAGATGGACATATGCGTACAACAGGAACTTTATGCTGCATAAAGAGCCACTCATCCTGCTGGAATAAATACCCATCCCACTGGAAATGGCACTTGAATTCCAGACATAATGCATCAGTCAGGAGTAAATCCTAGGCAAATGCAAAGTGCGAGGCTTCACAGGTAACTTTTGGAAATGCAAGCTTTTCCCTTCCCAAGTCCTTCCTTCTGTAATCGAACTGCTCCTTTTTGTATGTGCATAATAATTTACCCTTTGTACTTAAACTGCATTTCTAGTTTTCTTTTGGAGGAAAAGAGAGAGGAAGAAAGAAGAAAGTAGGTTCAAACAGATAACAAAGAAAATAATTTGTGCATCTGTGGCGTGACCTTCCTGGATACAGCATGCATTCTAGATTGGCTTCACATTTATCATCAAAATCTAAGGACCAAGCAGAATAAGGTTCTATGCAATTTACTAATTCTGCACCTGAACATGAGACCACAAATTTGTTTTACTTCCTTCTTTCCTGTTCCACACATGAGAATTTCACTATGAAATGAAGGATTGATTAAAGCTGAAAGTAGCCATGACCTATGCCTATGTAAGGCAGATTCCACAAACATTATGATATCTTTTCCCACAAGTGTAGGAAAAGAACGCAACATGATTTTTCCAAGAGAAACCCTTAACAGCAGAGAGAACAGAAGGTTCATATAACATACTTTCAGCTGAACCTTCCAAATACGTTTTGTTTTAATCATCACAGCATAAAATAACTTTTCTCAGATGTCCAGGGATTATTTCTTATGTGGGCGATGTTTTTTATATTCATCCCTATGCAGCACCTTTGTAGGTGCAGAACAAAATGCATACTCACTGCATATGGGCTCACATTTGTGCAACTTTCAGGGAAAGACAGGAGAGAGCTGGAAGAAACTCATATAAGAGGAAATCACAGACCCACTACAATGGTCAGGAATAATGGTGACAGCTGTCCTGCTCTTATTACATTCCACTCCCACAATAATTAGAATCAGAGAGAAAAAGAAACAAAAAGAAAAGAAAAAACAAGGAACAGGCAAACAACAAAATCTCAGAGATACAACGTGTTTGCCACAGAGAGCAAGGAATCAGAGACCTTTGTGCTATGGAAAAACAGTTCCATGTCTGGGAAACAGTAAGACATGACTTTGGCTATATATAAGACCATTTCTTAAAATTGAGTCAGGGCTTTTCCTGAAAACAAAGAAACAACAGAATGCAGCTTAAGAAGGTATGACAGAAGCCTGGAGGAAACAGTGTGGGAAACAAACAGCCACCTTTAAACCCCAGACTGTATCGGCACTGCAACCAGAGGTGCAGCTGGCACTCATATCTGTCTTCTAAGCAGCACCAATGCCCCCAGCACACACATCCACCGGCCCAGGCAGACTGGCACAGCTTCCAGCCGTGGCACCAGCCTGCCACAGTAACTTCCCTTTATCACAATTCCCCTGCATTAAGCAGTGCTCTAACCCCTGCACTCTTAAAGAGCAAGATGGAGTATTCCTGACACACTGCCATCTTCCGTTGAGATAAAGATACGATTTGGGAGTTTCCCCAACAACCTGGAGACACAGCCCTCTTCCTTCTGGTTCTGTGCAAGCTGAGGAACAATCACAGAACATAAGGAGAGCCTATTTTGTACAGCTTCCATGGGGCAGGATTTTAGAATTGTTCCTTAACAGATGCATAGTTCTGTGAGGATCTGCTAAGGGGTGGATTGTGCCTCCTGTGCTGGTAAAACCACATCTATTCATTATTTCCCATACACCACATGGAGGGCTAGAGAGATTAATGATTTCAGACAACATGCAGATGATACAGCTATGCCATGTCCAAGTCTCTTTCATGCTTGCTTCTCCTGCTGCATTTTTTGTCTCCATGGGACACTCTGGTCTTGTGTGCCTGTGATATGCAGAAATGCCATGGCAAAGCAGACAACAGCACTTCAATTTCTGAGTTAGAGAGGGGAAAGAGAAGAGGGTCACCAGTCCATGTCTTAGTCACAGAGCCTCTGGGCTCCTTCAGAGAAGATGTCAAATGACTCCTGCCCATCCCTGCTGATCAACCTCCTTCAAATTAATGAACAGACAGCGTTTTTCTGAAAGAGATGCCCCATTGCACCTTGATACACATCTGAAGGTGTATGACAGATCTCACGGCTGCTGTTTACCCACACATCTGCCATTCAATCCACATCAAAACCACTGCTGTGAAATATGCTGGGATATTCCAGATATGAAAAGTATTCTACAAACCCATTTCTTACTCTGATTCAAACATAATTGCATTGAAATGTTATTAGAAGCATGCTTGCTGCTGCCAAGATCTTCACTACTGTTTTAAAGGTAATTAATTAATGCTTTGTTGCTTTTTGTCTACATTAAAGTGACAGGAGGGTTATGGGAGGGCGATTGGTTTTGACAAGGAGAAGTCTGTACGCTTTCTACTGTGCAGTGCAGGGGAGGGAGACACACAGTGGGAGCTAATCTCACTCCTGCCTTCATTTAAACACAATGTTTAAACGCATTTAAGTGACGAAGGCATTTAACAACCCTTCCCAGAGGGTTTTTCTTGCTGTTTGCACAGGAGTTTGCCAAGTTCAATGCCATTTTATGGAAGTTGTAAAAATGCTGCTTCCTAGTATCTCCTAGTCACTGCAGGCAACTGTCTCATGACATCATCTCTGAAATAACAAAACATGCTCAGATGCACTGCACATGCACAGTCAGAGAGATTTCTGCAGGCTAAGATTCTGTAATGGAAGGAGAGGGAGAATTCCTTTATCACGGCTTTACGTAAAAATACTTCCAAATACTAAACCTGTACACTGAAGAAGCATCGAGGAGCCTGTCTCACAGATGAAAGACCCACTGTGATACAGAGCTGCACAAGCTCATCAGGAAAAGAGGTCTCCTCCCACAAAGAGCTTACGTCTGAATTCTAAGGCAGGGAACAACAGATGGAGACAGACAGGCAGATGGAAAACAAGACAGCGCTGTCTACATCCTCGGCACTGATCTCAGCAGAGCAGTTGCCAAGATAAAAAGTTCTGCCCTGAAGAAAAACTTTCTCAAAGTCTGTGGATATAGATGAGGGCTTCTGGTCTTGAACTCGTGTCAAATTTCAAGCCTCCCTGTCCGGAAAGGGGCCAGCCTCAAATCCATCTGTGCAACCACACCTCAAACAATTCTTCTCCATCCAGAAGATCCCCTAGTCTGAGCTTTAAACCTACTGTGTAATGTCAAGACACAGGCTTTTCCTGGCCACAGGGTTCAGGCTAGCAGTGCAAACAGCACTGGTTAAACCATTACCCATCTCAGCAGTAGCACCTGTTCTAAAGCAGCCTCCAGGGACTTTGACAAGGGCAGGTATCACTGTCCTATGTGCATGGGGCATGAACAGGCCCTTGACAGCCTAAATACATCAACTGGACAATTACCTCCATTCTACAGGTTGTAAAGGGAGAAAATATAAATTATGGAATATGCATCTTATCATAAGACCTTCTACAGAAATGAATCAGGTGAGTTTTCCCTTCTTCATTTCTTAATATTCTTAATATTCTTTAGATTCTGCATAGCATCATTAGCATCAGATCAAGAAAAAACAAAATCAGAAAGCAGAGAGAAGATTCTAAAAATATGTGCAATTCAAGGAATTTTTAGGTAATATTCAGGGATAGGTATTTCCACCTGTGTGTACACCCAACACAAAAAAACAAGTCATTCTACTCTAGTATAATATGTCAATGCTAGAACAGTAACAGCTTTATTAGAATAGCAATATCTGCAACATCTGCTCTGATCCACCTTGCTCCAAAACAAATTTTCAATAGTGCTAATCCATCTTTAAAAGAAAAGTGCCTCTGCCCTTTGTCTTTCTGGAGAAGAAAATATTGGCTGAGAATGCAACCGGTTTCTACTACAGGAGCTGTAATTCTCTGCTGTAGCAACGCTGAATCATTTGAAGAGCACATAACTAAAAGAAACCACATCCTGCAGTACTTTAGGCACCCAGAGCACACCTCCCATAAGCTTTCTCTAACTTTATTACTTTTCCCTTCTGACACTATTCCTACTAGAAGGCAGTCCCAGAACCCCACTGATATGCCTAAAATTCTTCTTGTTTCTAGCCCACTTTCCTGTAAGACCATTAGACATACATTTGTTTTTGTGCCAGTATCTTCCTTTAGCTTCAGTAATGCTTCCCTCTCTAGTAATTACCTCTAATGAATATGCAGATAACCAGTACAACCTTTGTTAGACATTATCTGTGTACATTAACTGAAGCTCTTTTAGGCCATACTATTCAGACAGACTCTTTCAAAAATGCTGATCATCTTAGCACTCATTCTTTGTTTGACTTTACCTTTCATAAATATGAGTGGTCAGAAATACCACCACCAGGAGCTAGGATCAATTTTTAATGAAAAATTTATATTTAATGAAAGAAAAACAAATTCTTTTATTTTACAGCATGTTTAGTAAAACAGGCCCAAAAAATGAGTGGTCAAGGATGTCCCATTAACCGTATTTGAGGCTACGTAATACATGGTGAGTGTGAACAATATTCCACTAAGAAATAATAAAGTCTTGTTCCCACAAATGAATCATATACCAGGAAAGATACTGCCTGCTTCTTAAGGCTGAAAAGGGCCAGCAACAATAATTCTGAGTACCCTCCCCTCCATTAATCTTCTCAAGCCCCAACACTGAAGCAAATGATGACAGTTAAACGTGAATGCTGCTTCTGTTTTTGTTGATCATTTTAACAGATGGACTGGGGAAGGTGTGGGTGTGCTGTGAAATGGCAATTACTGCAGGGAGGGAAACGCAGTTGGATGAAAAGGAAAAGAGATACAAATCAAAAAAAGAGGAACAAAGCAGAGAGGGGAAGTAAAAAATTAAAAAAAAAAAAAATTCTAGTCACCTTACATTTCACTATATTTTTCTCCTGAATTCACTAGTAAGGTATTGAGCAAATGATCAGCAATGGTAACAGCTACATCTGTACTTACTGTACCCAAGCTGCAATTTTGCTCACATCTTTGTATAAATAACAAATTGATTCAAGTGAGATATTTTCTAGGAATAGAGGCTTCCAAATAAACCCATGTTTATACCCTTTTTCACAGGACACAGCTAAAATAGAATTCAGCTCTCTCCTCAGAATGAACTCTAATATTCCCAGCTCCTGTGCAGTAAACAAAGAGCTCCCTTCTGCCTGGCAGTCAAAGCAAGCAGCTCACTAACAGCACGGGAGTGTGACAGCAGCAGGGACAGCAAACCCAGAGACCCTCAAATAATGAAAAAAAGACTGCAGCAAATAACAAAGAGCCAACCTTTTTTCCCTCCCAGCTCTCAGCTCTTTAATATGTATTATTTCAAATTCTTATTCATAATTCAATGGTTAGTGTGTGCCAATAACTACCTGATCTGGGTTTTTTCCCTCCCTAAGGAAGTAAGAGGTTAATTTTGATCAAGAAAGGGAGGGGGATGAATGTCACTCTGAGACCTTGAATTACCTCAACTGCTTTCTCTCCTATGCATGTACATTCCCAGCTGTATTGCACAGCTCAAATTATTTAGGGTCTGTCTCTGCCCTGTGGAAAAATTCAGAACAATCTGAAGAAGGAACTAGCACTTGATGATCTGCTCCCTAACATACTTAGACCATCGGCACTTTTTTGAGGAAAAAACCCAAAAAACCCAAGAAGCTGGTACATTTGCATCATGGAAAGGAAGCTAAACTTGAGAGGGACTTTGTGACTTTCTTGGCCATGAAGAACATCTGTCTCATCTCTCAGGATATTGTCCTAACCAGTGCTCTTTCCGTGAATATACTTGTGAAAATGTTACTCCTTTCCTTAAAAATCTGTTTTAAAAAGGTCTTTTAAGGTGCCTAATATATTTTTTTTCAATCAGTGCTATTTATGTACTGCAAAATGTGATGGCTACTGGGTTTGCAAAAGTAGGGATACTAAAAATAACATGAGTTTTCCCCTATGCTACCAAACAAAGCATGACCTGGACTGATAATGAATGAAAGAAAAACGCAGATATCAGGTAATATTGTAGGGAGTTGTAAAGGGAGATTCAGTTAACTTTTTAGCTGAGAGGTGTCTGCATCCCAAAAGCACCGTCACAGCTGGCACACACTGATGCTGTTGTTACCAATCTCAGCAGAGAGGCCAACCAGTGATCTGAGAGTTTATTTATAAATATTTTAGCAGACTGAAGAACCAGGAGGAGTTTTAAATTTACATTTCTTTATACATACTCCCACTCAGAATCTGTGAGCTTAGTAAATCTGTATAAAATCATCACCAAGGCCTGACAATAGGATTTACAGGGGCAACGTACCCATAAAGGCACACGCCTCCACTGACAAGCAGGCAATCTTACTTTCCAAAATTATTTTAATTGCCAGTGTTTTTTAATTCCCTAAAACATTAACACAACGTTAGTGAAGGATACAATCACTACACAGTCCTCACTCTTGCAGGGTCTCTGTTGTAGTGATGGGATGTATCCTAGATGCAGAGTCAGTGCTGAATGCCAGGAGCTCAACACCGTGGGACTAACAGTGCTCAGGACCACAGGGCACAGGATGAAAGAGGAGACTGGCAGACACTTGCTCTGAAGGCTGCTAGAGGATAATGCAGAGCAAATGCTGGATAGAATACAATGCAGCTTATGTGGTGCGAAATGAAAAGCCAACACTTCTGTCAGAAATGTAGGAAAATCACGCTCTGTTTAATGGCAAAGCTTCAAATACTAGTCCTAACACTTGTGACCTTCAAATACTTATATTATGTCCCCAGCAAACTGCTGTATCACACAGAAGAATCAGACAACTCAGGTGGACTCCAAAAGGAGTGAATGGGCCAGTAGTTCTTTGATGAGCTATGAGGGATTTCTCCTAAATGCCCAATGTTACATATGAAAGGGAATCATGAGGCTACAGAAGAAACACAAAAGCAATCTGTCCTCAAGACTCAAAAGAGACTGTAATTGCCAATTCCACTCCTTTGCTCAGAAGGAAATACGTAGGAATGCCACCAAATCACCAAGTTACCTTGGCTGCTCAACCATTCCTGCAACAAGGCGAGAAATGAAGCCTTGCTGACGAAGCTTCCTTACCGTGAGACGTTTCGAGGCATCCACTTCAATCATCCCCCGCAAAAGGTTCTGACAGTCGGGAGGGATAAAATGGGGCATGTGGAACACTCCACGCTTCACCTTCTCCAGCAGTTGCCGCAAGTTGTCGTCATCGAAAGGCAGAGCACCCTGCAGGGATGGGACAGAGCAATCAGTAGGAGAGAACTGGAGACGGCCAAAGGAGAAAAGCCGGGATAAACACGGTGAGAGAATGGAAAAGAGGAAGTCAGCTCATATTATTATGAGTGAAAAAACTTCTTATCCATTGAAAAGACACAATTTCTTAGTGCTGCTGTATTTCCTCTAACATGAGACAAAACTGAGGACATTGGTTTTTTTTATTAGACCTTTAATTAGACCTACCAGTATAAAGTAAAATACAAAATATGAAATTGCCTTTCTAGGCAAATTCACAAAGATGCGTGGATTCACTCAAATTCAGCTCAAGCTTTTGATCTGCTGGTATTCCTCCTGGGCATACTTTCACAGCAGCAATGTTTATCGTCTCCTTATTTTTAATCTTCCTGAGACACATTTATTGCAGACGTTGAAAAGGAGGTGAACAGCTTTTGAGAGACTTTCAGCAAAGAACATGCTCTTTCTGATGGAGCATTAAAATGACACAGCTGAAAGAAACCCCAACCAACATTAGCCTTTGGAAGCAGCAGACATTCTACCTGTTTAATATACTCCATCCAGTTCCCATGCTGCGGTCAGGTCATCAGTTCCTATTGCTTCCCTACTGTAGCTCACTTACATGAATGGCTTGAAGTTTTTTTAGCTGAAACTACATTTTGAATAGATCATCAGCTTGCCACAAAAAGCAGTAAAAGACCTATCCTTGCTGCAAGGACAAAAAGGAAAAAGAGAAGTTGAAATCTTTAGGATAACTCTACTGACTGAAGCTGATACCCTTTTATAGCAAGTCTGCACCTTCCTAGATATTCTCACTTCCTTCTTCCACTGCCTAATTCTAGTAGGTGCCGAGCTTCCTTGATTTCCAGGATGGTTTGTGGGAAGCTGCAAGCTGTCAGCTGCTGTGATAATGAAGTTTTAAGTTGTCAGCTCTGGCACTGCTCTTACTACAGTGAGTAGTGCATCTGTATAAGCAATCCTGTGTCTATGTTTTAGGGAGAACAACAGCTCCATTTACAGCAGGCTCAGGAAGCCACCTGATGGCAGCCACGACTGGGCACTGCTGACTTGTGTTTGTTCATTCAAGTGGCCTTGAAGGCAGAGCCTCTCCCTGCCTTCTGTCACCAACCTCCAGAGTTACCTGCGTTTGTCTGTCCATTCCAGACTTAAAGGAAAATCAATTCCGATAGTTCAGTACTTTGGCTAATGCAATTTAAGCCCTGATGAAGTCAGAAAGGACGCCGTGTGGCATTTCCTGAAGGTAACAACTATATCTCTTTTATTACTACCATCTGCTATCATATGTTGATAGTTTTTGCAGGGCTTGTTGATAGTTCAGTACTTTGGCTAATGCAGTTAGCCCTGATGAAGTCAGAAAGGACGCTGTGTGGCATTTCCTGAAGGTAACAACTATATCTCTTTTATTACTACCATCTGCTATCATATGTTGATAGTCTTTGCAGGGCTTGTCCTGACATAATTAACTGGCGAGCTCTGCACTTTCCATCAACATTAGACTTATTTCAATAATTTTTCAGGCTCATGTTTGTATGTAGGAACAGATGAAGATGCAGCAACAGACACCCAAGCTTGACAGAGAATCCCCCTGAAAATGAAAAGCCTGCTCGACAAATCCTAACCATCTTGACACATTCTCTCTTCTGTTCTTACAAATTCAAGAAGTTATATTAAGAGCTCATTATACACTTCTATTTTATCAGCTATGAAAGTAACTGCTCAGTAGTAGCTGACCAGGTGCTATCTAGTGTGACAGTTAAAATTCTTCCAATGCAACATCGAGATAAAGAAATTAAAATTGCAAAAATGTCAGTGAATTGTAATGACTAAAAAGAAAAAAGGAGTAAGATTGGTTACGGGGAATTAAAGCATCATACTGAGATTACTTCAAGGTATTCTGATTTGAGCCATTAAAAAAGAATCAGCATATCCCTTGATACAAAACACCTCTAAAATTTAAAAGCATTGAAACAAAAATAATATCCAGAATTTATCTTATTTTACACTGTACAAGTGCTTTTTCAAAATAAAACATTTAAGTGAAGCAATTATGTTTACTGATAAACGTACAAAAACATCAACATTTTACTTCAGGCTTGTTACTTTCATAATTATAGATGATCAGATGAACTATTACAGATATAAAGCACTTAACAAGCACATAAAACCTATATTCATATAGAGTATTTTACCTGCATGTAGTATATGCTTGTATTAACATAAACTATATTTTCCTACATTATACTATGGGAATTGATAACAAATGCCAAACCTATCTGCCTTCAGCTGGACACCCATTTGTTGGATGTTTAGAAGTGTTATAATAGAACTTCATTTTAGAATAAATTCCACAGAGAATTGAAACTCTGATCAAAAGAAGGATAAGTTAGAAGACACCACATTTTGAACACTTCAAGTATTACTGAGCCAGATGGAAACTAATTTAAACTTTGTACTACTGGCTCAGTTTTATATTCCCATGTGTACCAAATTAAAATGTAGCTCACTGCTTGCATGAAACAAAGACGAGGTTCTCAATACTTTCCTTGAAAAAACACTGCAGTTAATGTATGCATATACCTGCTGAAGCACACATACACATACAGCAGAAAAACCTGAATGTACCCCAAACCCAGCCATATCTTGATCCCGTGAAGGATGACTTGTTTGACACTCTCTGTATCCTGGAGTCGTAACCCTACTCATCCCCATCCATCAAAAAACAGGGTGCAACATCACAACACAAGAAAGAGCATTTATAGAGACAAGTTTTTGATGGCTGTCTATGCTCTTCTGTGCAGGGCAACAGTGTTTCAAAGAAACAGTGAAATATTCCTCATGCTTTTCCTTTGGGGCTGGTGTAGAAATAAGAGCAAAGGATGCCACTGGGAGATACAAAAATAGAGGACTAAAAAAAACCATCTGTACATGATGTCAATAGAATTGCCATTAAATACAGCAGCACTTTCAGATTTTTCCTTTCTTTTTAAAGGCTAGTGCAAGGAAGATGACTCACCACTAGCAACGCAAACAAAATGACTCCGCAGCTCCAGACGTCTGCTTTCCTTCCATCATATTTTTCTCCCTGCGCAGCAATGACACACAGGTTCAAAAGACTGATCACTAGTAAATGAATTAATTATCCTTGAGGAATGAGAGAGGGGAGAATGGGAAACCCCACATTTCAGTTCAGCTACCTGCTTCTCAAGCTGGCTTTCCCGACTAGGAGGAAGCCACTACACAGCTGGCTAAATGAATTTTTGTGAACATCAGTTTGCAGTCTTATCTGGGATCTGAGAGGAAAGGCTCAGAAGTGGGAGCAGGGCAGGAATGGTTGACAATTCATAAATTATCAGATCTGGCATTTAACCAGAATAACAGGTGCATTAAGGACATCAAGAAGGTGTGTTTCTCTGCCTGGTTCTTCAGGGAGCTTGCCACCAGTCACATGATTTGCAAACTCATAGTGTTGTCTGGACAGTCTCTCCTGTGTGCTTCCTGCTTGACTTTACAAGCAGAGACATGCTTTGGAAGAGGGCAATCCTGGGCACTGAAATCTTGGATACTTATTTTCAGAGGACAAAGGGAAAGCAGGGAGGAAGATATTATTTAGTGGAAACCAACATCACTGACAGTCAATCCCAGCTTTTCTACTGATGATGACAGCTACATGAGAGACAGGAAAGCTGAGGGGATGATGTCCCTTGGGCCAAAAGGTCAAATTAAGTTAGGCTCGTGTACTTCTGTCTGATCACATGGTGCAAAGGTACTGTGAGAATAACATACAATTATTTCCCAATGTGGCTTGATTCAGGGCTGAGCCAAACAAACAGAACTCTGTTTAGGTTTCTTGTGTCCTTTTCTTTCCCTCTGCATTGGGCAGATTCCTTGTACAGAGGATCTATCTGTGTACTTGCAATGAGGGACACTTCAAAAGTATTTATGTACACTAATATTAACCAACTTACCCGGATGACTTCAGGACAAGCATAATGTGGTGATCTGAAAGACAAAATACAGTCAAATGAGCATGTAACAGCCTGGAATTTATGGTTATCTGCATTTCCATTTTGTTTAGTAGAACAATGATAGATTTGCTTACACAGAATACAAGTGTGCAAACCAGCCCATTTTTCCTTACCTCAACAAGAACATATTCTAAGAACAAGCTCAGAAAATGGTCAAGAACCAGCATAATTTAAAACTCTATGGCCCTATTATAAATTTCTTCATAGTAAGGAATGAAGGGAAGACAAGGCACATTCTATGAGTGTAAAATTCCAACTCCCTAATCCCACCCTTTAACTTGCCCTTGTATCTAACTAAAAGGAGGGCCCACACTGCAAAGCCTTTTACAGGAAAAAAGACAGATGCATCCCTAAACCATGTCTGGAATCTCTTCTGCTAAGATGATTCTCATTTACACCAGTGGTCACAAAAGCTGCCAATACAAGATGGCAACATGCATTTTTGTTTTCTTTTAAAACACAAAAAAGGATGGACAGTAGCACTATTACCTGGTTAAGTTAATATATTCTTTTCACATCCTTCTACCCATATATCTCTTGTTTGATTCCTGGCTGAGAAGAGTTAATTACTTCAACTTGCCAGGTAATAATTTTAATTCCTAAAGATTATAGCCATGGCTATTTATTTTATAGCCTTCATTAAAGTAACTTGACAAGTAAAAGGGATGCAAACTGTCTGAAACCCGTGTGCAAATCATGCTATTGTTTATACTGACACCTCCCAGCAGCCCCTGAGCCTGTCTTCATTTGTGCATGTGTTTCTTGTGACAAATGCAATCATGGCTGGGCAATACCTGTCTCACAAAGTAATGAGCAAACCAGAAGCACAGCGAGGTTAGCTTTGTGCTAGGATGCTATATTAATGCCCAGTGAGACAGCCCATTAATTGAATTTCCATACACACTACACTTATCTTGTGGCAAAATATCATCCCATGGGCATGGAATGCCCTGATTTGGTATCACAGCTTTTGGCAGATCATGACAATAAACTCAGGGTACATTTGCGAGTGCAGCTACCTTGACAGCAAAGCTTCCATGAGGAGAGAGAAATGCAGTTGATCCCTCACAAATTTCAGGAAAAGTAGAATTCAGCAGCTTCATCCAATATTTAATACAACACCAATCCTGGGCCCATTTAAGAGCTAGGCTGTTCACAGGTATTCAACCAGTCTGCCTGCTCAGTAGTGCCTTAGTTCAGAATACATTTAAAAAATCTTGGTTCAAGACTCAAAACAGCTAATGAAAGCCAGAGCCTTGCTCAGAGAGCTGGCTAGAGCTGCTCATTGGAAGACCAGAAAAACTGTCTTGTGTCTAGTGGATAGGACAGGCTACCCAGGCTCTCTGTGTGGCTCTGACACTGACAGCCATGGAAACATGGACATGGTTATTTAACATTTTTAAAAGCTGCAGCTGGCCTGTTTGAAAAAGGTGACCAGAAACTCACTATGAGTCTACTCTTCTGACTAAAGCAAGAGCAATGCCACTGCAGCTTTCACACTACAAGAGAGAAAGTGAAGCCAGAGTGAGAAACTGAATTGCTTCATGTTATGTACAAGTTCCCAAACTTCCAAAATATATTGTTTCCTGTGAATTTGCCTCTTTACAGCAAACCGAGACCTGCACTACACCTATTTTTTCCAAAACCCAAAAGTCTAAACCACGAGAAGTCACAACGCTGGACTAACACATGATTTTGCAAACTTTTAGAAGACAAGCTATTCTTGAGAGAATGCTTGACTAGTGATGTCGTCTTTTTTTTTTTTTTTTTTTTTTGCACAGATTTTGCAAACTTTTAGAAGACAAACTATTCTTGAGAGAATGCTTGACTAGTGATGTCGTCTTTTTTTTTTTTTTTTTTTTTTTTTTTTGTATCTAACAGTGCTGTAGAGGGTACAGGCCACCCTAAGGCACACACAAACCACAGGTAAGGAGCAGCACCACAACTGGGACTGCAGCCCAAGCCTGACAAGTACAACTCTCACTAGTGCTGGACTGCTTACACAGAACACTGAAGGAGGGCAGTGTGGGAACTGTAGGGAACATAGTAATGCAACCGGAATTTGGAAAAAAAAAAAGAATGGTAGCAAAAAGAGCACAGGACTTCTATAGATCAAGGATATTTGCTCAGCTTAGTCACCTCAGGACAGAAAGGCCACTTTCTGTACATCACATTAGGTTTGGGAAATATATGGGGGGGTAAAAGGAGTGCAGACACATTCCAGGTAACTGTCAAGCTCCCGTCACTTAGCATGGCTGAATTTCTTACTCTTGCATGTATTTTAGGTTCTGTGTCAGTCATGAACACACACTGTACATTACATGGCTATTACAGGTGGTGACTGTGGCTGACCTAGAAACTTTAGCCAGACTTCTCAAATCCTGCATGGCATCCTGTACAGTTCAGCAATATCCTTCAATACAATCCTTTTTGGGTGGCAATGGCACTGGAGTGCACTGGAAGAGTTACTATCTCAATTTGCAGAGTGCTCCTGAATTTTTATTTGTATATTATGACTCCAACAACGATCCCAACACTCTTAATTGTGGGTGCTGAGCAGTGCAACCACCTTGAAAGCCTCCTGTGCTAACATCCTTGAAAAGAAGAATATAAGTGTTGTGAAGAACTCAAGAGAGGTACATGGGTATTTATGTGTCCCACTAGCAAATGCCCTTGAAGTGTTGCCCTTCCTGAGGTCTGCTGAACTGCAGTGGAATGTGCCATAGATCTTCAAAGGCACCGCTGAAATTCTGCAAAAGTCTAAGAGTCTGGGTGGAGAAAATGTTATAATAAATCCTTTGAACAAGCTGGATTGATTTCATCATTCAACAGCTGCATTGCAACTGCCCAGAGAGCACAGGTTTCTGGCATTGCCATTCTGAATTCTTGCCAGCACACACTAGCTAGATATCTGCAGCATTATCTTGGCTAACAGCTTTAAAAGGGATCCTCCAGCCAGCCAGAATCCATAAAAACCTCATTTCCATGCTACCAATCACACAGCAACTTCAACTGCTATAAAGACAAAACTCAAATTTAATCAAAAATCTATTTATCTTTCTACAGAGTCATGAATATTTCTTTGGCTCTTATCACTAATTATTCAATATAGATGTGTCAAGAGCAACATCCCCTGTCTCTTCCCCTAGGCCACCTCCTCATCATTCTGCTACATCTCTGTGCAGCAAAAGCCCCAGTCTGCCCTTGACAACAAATAAATATATCGCTCAGCAAGATCAAGAAACAGTTGCTGCCTGTGGGTACCACTGCAAAAAAGCAGCAATGTTGGCAGTGTTTTTTTCCAGGGTGATGGGGATTTTCCAAGGCTAGTCTGCCCAGGGCAGAAAGGGCTCTCTGAATGGTCATTCACAGCTGTGACTCTAGGACACAATAATCTTAAGGATCTTAGGGGAACTTAGAGCATTTACATGGGATGTAAACCAGGGGAAATAAGAGAGCAATGGTGAAATCCAGGACAGCTCTGGACAGTTAAGTCAGGCATGCAGAAAGAAATGTACATATCCTTGACATATCTTTTCTGAATTTCACCTGAGAAACTAGAAAAGTAGTTCTTGATCTGTGCACATCAAGATCTTGTGCAGATGCAGTGGATCTGAGACAACCAGGGCCATATCTTCAGTGCAGGTGTGATGTGCCTGTGAGTTACAGGGTTTTTTATGTGGGTTAGAGAGACTGCCCCGCGCACACACAAATCCGTTGGGCACATATGGTTTATCTGGGAACACACAGTTACTGCTTTGCCAGAGTTGATCAAGAAGGACAGTTTTTGCTATTATTTTTTTTATTATTATATTTATTCTTCAAGGCATGAAGTTACCTTGATACAGGATGTTGTACAGCTGCAGAGAAATCCTCACACATCTGGCTGTTTTTGCTGTTGCTGGATTCTAGAGTCCTTCTTTCCCCTCTCTTAATCACTGTCTCCAAGCTGGCTTTCAGAGGCAGGGGTTACCCAGAAGAGTAAAAGGCTGCCTCTGCTTTCCCCCCATGCTGGGTAGCAAAGGGCTGAGATGAAGAGGAAAACCAGAGGAGTAGCAAAATAGATAAAGGGAATTCAGGAGAAGGACACGGGCATTCCGAGTAGAAAAAGTGACAGTGGCAGATCACAGAGAAAGGAAAGGCAGGGAGACACTAACGAAAGGTTCCAGCAGCAGTGGGTACTCAAGGCTGCAGTGAAGGCAGGAGCTGCAGGTAAGGCTGTAATTAAGGTAGTAGGTGTAGTTAAGGCTGACTGCTATATTGCCATTAAAGCTTCAACTCAGTCATTTACCTTTGGATGAGAAAACTCAGCATCTAGCCCTCAGACATGTTACAACTGTTTATTCCTCTGTGCAATTACATTTTTGGGGAACCTGCAAATCAATTCATTAATTATCAGTTCAAATTTTTAAATCATGGAACCTTTAAGAGGTTTTAATTTTAAAAATTAACCAGACCCTTGTATTAAAAGGGCATAAAGACTACCAAATTAGGTACCCAAAAGTTAAGAACTGGAAAAAAAAAAAGGTTGAAAATGTTACACTGTGCTCTGCAGGTAAGTCAGGTAGATGTATAGCCAATGCCTCTTTTCTGCTTGTGACTGCCTCTTTCTACTTCTACTGTTGGGAAGTAGCAATGTGAGGGAACTTCAGTGTCAATAAGGACAAGCTTGCAAGCATGCAGCCGATTAACACATGGGAGAATCAAAATCTCTGTCCTTGCCAGAGAATCCTTCTGTGAAAGAAAATGAACAGGTGCCTTAAACTGAGATGTTCACAGGTTAATTATGAGTTGAATGTTCCCCAGTTTTCAGAATCACAGTGCTACACATCCAAGTTTAATTTCCAGCATTTATAAGCATGTGGAGCAGCAGGTGCAGTTGGTAGGCACTGTGCTCTCCCAGTAAAGGACTGTTATCAAGCACCAAGTATCCTGAGGTATTGGGCCCCAAGAGCATCAAACTGTACACTCAAA